ACGTGTCAATTTTCCGGTTGCATACGGACAGTTTCTCTGTATTGCAGACGCTTACCTCTTTGAGTTTATTATGGAATACAATTAGTGACAAAGGAGCACAATTTTTGGGTGAAGCTTTGATGGAAAATACCGTAAAATGCCAACTTATACACTGTTTCTTCTTTGTTATAAATATGAAAAATAGGCATTGACATTACTAGACTTGGCTGTGTGCGGTATCACTGACCAGGGAGCGCTAGCTCTTGCTAATGGACTAGAGAAAAATCACGTAAGCCTACAGGACTTCATTATTCCTATTGAATATTTGATTTCTAACATTTAACATAGACATTAGGAACACTACAGTGTCGACAAACTCTTATCGAGTCTTTAGGAGCGCAGCATCTTGCTACCATGTTGCAGAAGAATACGACAGTATACATCAATACTTTACAGCATTCCAAAGTATCAACTTTCATTTAGGGATTAACATCTCTCGATGTGAGTGAAACATTAATCGCAGCCGAAGGTGCTCAATACATATTTCAAGCGTTACAATACAATACCGTACCGTGAAACTAATCTGATTGACACATCTACTCTACCTTCATCGTGTAGACCATCACGACACTTTACATTAGTATCATTAGATTCGGCCCTGAACCCATGCAGTATCTGGGCAATGCGCTAGTGCATAACAAGGTGTGTGAGATGCATTTGATTTACCAATTACATTTAGTCATCGTATAAGAATTTAGACGCTCAAGATTCTCTCTATGGGAATAAACTATATCGGTCCGAAAGGAGCCCAACACTTAGCTAAAGGATTGGAACAGAATAATGTGAGAACTTTCACTACTCCCTTACGGCGACCGTTTGCCATTTGATATAGACACTTAAAGAGCTAAGACTTTGCTTTAATGGACTTATGGACGAAGGCGCTCAATATCTTGCCACTGCACTAATACACAATAAAGTAAGACATAGAGGAAAATCTACTCTTGCTCCGCTAATTCTTTTCTCATATTGCTCTTTGCAGGGATTGAAAGACCTGGTCCTTGGTAGTAACGGGATTACTGTCTCAGGAGTTCAACATATAGCCAACGCTTTGTTATATAATGAGGTGAGTTATCGAAATATTCAGCTTTATTGTAACATAGTAATTATATTCATTTCAGACACTTTTAAATCTGGACGTTATAGACAACGACATTGGTTTGCAAGGAGTTCAATATTTAGCAAACGCTTTGCGCAAAAATAAAGTCAGAAATTGCCCTTCGTGTGTTATTTTCCTACCTTTCTTTTCTGCTAATCAATGGTAGACATTAACGGCACTATTATATGGATCAAAAGCTATGTCTGCTGAACAATCACAAGGCATTATGAATGAAATACCCGAGCTCGGTGCGCGAGCGACTTGGAGCGGCTAATGCTCTCAGTAGAAAGAGGAAAGATTTTGACTGTTGAGTACTTTTTTGTGGTGAATTCAATACCGATTCATGCGACACAGATGAACAGGAAAACCCGAGTTCATAAATAAATCCGCTTGTCAAACATTATAAAATATGTTACGGTCTTGTGGCTTGTCATAAAAGTCTTTTTAAATAGAAAGAGAATATAGGGGAGAGAATATTTCAGCTGTACCAACTAACCAGGCACTAGATCATCCGAATCCAGTTCTTTACTATCAGACCACATGTGGCATGTTTTTCTATTTTCGTATACACTGAATTAAATCTTTCGAACGTTTTTTATCCTGATCGAGCACGTGTTTCCAGCCTATACAAAATAGTGATTCGTTTTATCTCAGCTGTGTGGATCTTTTGGTTTCTAGTTTCAATTTGACCAACACTAATGTGACAGATGTATAACGGTGTTTGTGATGCACTTCCCGGTAATATGTAATCGTGTATACGGCTTATATTATATCTGTAGCTAAGACTATTTCATTATTGGCTATGATTTCTTTAGAATATCAATGCTACAAAGCTTAAAAAATACGTCGTCGGATTCTGCCAACTGCAATAACTAATACTGCAGATACAAGTACGATCGAGACATAATGAAAATGTTATTCATCGAGCTTGCAATCTGTACGATCACTCTTACGTCACATATTATAACACGTGTTCATGAATCAGTTATCGCCGAAGAAGTTGCGTCAACAAATTGAATCCCTTGTATTTTATCGCGCTCTACGTGGCAAATACATTCTCGTTTCGAGTTTTACATTTTAACATCACAAATAGCTATATCATCATGCGAATTAAAAACTTTGGATGTTCCTTTTTGCTTGTTGTCTAGTCAATAAATTTCACAAAGTACAGACACTTTTGTTCTATCGGTCATAAGGTCAAAACGTCTATACCTTCATCGCGAACAAACATTGCTCTCATACGTATGAATTGACAAAAGAAATACACCCAAATGTATATTGCGTTTGTTTTATACGCTTATCAGTAGATAAGAGAGTGTATTGTAAAGGCTTACTTTGTCTATGAATATTATTATTCGCCATGTTAATCCGTAAGGTTGCGAATAAATCTGTTTGATGTGCAAATTAATAGAAGACAAGAAGTNTCGACAAACTTATATCGAGTCTTTAGGAGCGCAGCATCTTGCTACCATGTTGCAGAAGAATACGACAGTACATCAATACTTTACAGCATTCCAAAGTATCAACTTTCATTTAGGGATTAACATCTCTCGATGTGAGTGAAACATTAATCGCAGCCGAAGGTGCTCAATACATATTTCAAGCGTTACAATACAATACCGTACCGTGAAACTAATCTGATTGATACATCTATTCTACCTTCATCGTTTAGACCATCACGACACTTTACATTAGTATCATTAGATTCGGCCCTGAACCCATGCAGTATCTAGGCAATGCGCTGATGCATAACAAGGTGTGTGAGATGCATTTGATTTATCAGTTACATTTAGTCACCGTATAAGAATTTAGACGCTCAAGATTCTCTCTATGGGAATGAACTATATCGGTCCGAAAGGAGCACAGCACTTAGCTAAAGGATTGGAGCAGAATAATGTGAGAACTTTCACTGCTCCCTTACGGCGATCGTTTGCCATTTGATATAGACACTCAAAGAGCTAAGACTTAACTTTAACGGACTTATGGATGAAGGCGCTCAGTATCTTGCCACTGCACTAATACACAATAAAGTAATTCATAGATGAAAATCTACTCTTGCTCTGCTAATTCTTTTCTCATATTGCTCTTTGCAGGGACTGAAAGACCTGGAACTTGGTAGTAACAGGATTACTGTCTCAGGAGTTCAACATATAGCCAACGCTTTGTTATATAATGAGGTGAGTTATCGAAATATTCAGCTTTATTGTAACATAATATACTCATTTCAGACACTTTTAAATCTGAAAGTTGTGGACAACGACATTGGTTTGCAAGGAGTTCAATATTTAGCAAACGCTTTGCGCAAAAATAAAGTCAGAAATTGCCCTTCGTGTATTATTTTCCTACTTTTCTTTTCTGCTAATCAATGGTAGACATTAACGGCACTATTATATGGATCAAAAGCTATGTCTGCTGAACAATCACAAGGCATTATGAATGAAATACCCGAGCTCGGTGCGCGAGCGACTTGGAGCGGCTAATGCTCTCAGTAGAAAGAGGAAAGATTTTGACTGTTGAGTACTTTTTTGTGGTGAATTCAATACCGATTCATGCGACACAGATGAACAGGAAAACCTGAGTTCATAAATAAATCTGCTTGTCAAACATTATAAAATATGTTACGGTCTTGTGGCTTGCCATAAAAATCTTTTTAAATAGAAAGATAATATAGGGGAGACAATATTTCACCTGTACCAACTAGCCAGGCACTAGATCATCCGAATCCAGTTCTTTACTATCAGGCCACATGTGGCATGTTTTTTCTATTTTCGTATACACTGAATTAAATCTTTCGAACGTTTTTTGTCCTGATCGGGCACGATCACGTGCTTCCAGCCTATACAAAATAGTGATTCGTTTTATCTCAGCTGTGTGGATCTTTTGGTTTCTAGTTTCAATTTGACCAAAACTAATGCGACAAATGTATAATGGTGTTTGTGATGCACTTCCCGATAATATGATATCGTGTATACGACTTATATTATATCTGTAGCTAAGACTAGACTATTTCATTATTGGCTATGATTTTCTTTAGAATATCAATGCTACAAAGCTTAAAAAATACGTCGTCGGATTCTGCCAACTGCAATAACTAATACTGCAGATACAAGTACGATCGAGACATAATGAAAATGTTATTCATCGAGCTTGCAATCTGGACGATCACTCTTACGTCACATATAATAGCACGTGTTCATGAATCAGTTATCGCCGAAGAAGTGGCGTCCAAGGAGCGTCAACAAATTGAATCCCTTGTATTTTATCTCACTCTACGTGGCAAATACATTCTCGTTTTGAGTTTTACATTTTAACATCACAAACATATCATCATGCGAATTAAAAACTCTGCATGTTTCTTTTTGCTCGTTGTCTAGTCAATAAATTTCACAAAGTACAGACAGTTTTGTTCTATCGGTCATACGGTCAAAACGTCTATAGCTTCATCGTGAACAAACAGTACTCCCATACGTATGAATTGACAAAAGAAACACACCCAAATGTATACCGCGTTTGTTTTATACGCATATCAGTAGATAAGAGAGTGTATTGTAAAGGCTTGCTTTATCCATGAATATTATTATTCGCCATGTTAATCCGTAAGGTTGCGAATAAATCTGTTTGATGTGCAAATTAATAGAAGACAAGAAGTGCACAACGAAAGCGTTAATTGCCATGGTCGTCGTTGCTAGTACCCTGCTTTTCATTATAGTCGGTGTTGTTATTGCGTTTACAACGTCTCATCATAAATTAACTGAAGATAGTGCAACCGATGGTCTTCCAGCCAATAATCCTATCAGGCAGCCTTGGATCTGGCCTCTTCCTCAAACTTGGCAGCGTGGAAATCAAACTATCGAATTTTCCGAAAACGTACGCTTCGACTTCGAGGGTAGCAGTTCTATTTTGAACAAGGCTGTTCAACGTTATCAGAGATTATTTTTTCTCAAAGAAACTCACCCTATGATTCCTTACAATTGGTCTACCACATCGACAATCGTAGCGTATGTTCTAAACAAAATTCATATTCAAGTACAGGATATTTCCGAGGAGCTGAGCATAGAAACAGACGCATCTTACTCGTTAATCATTCTAGCTGCTCAATACGATAGAGTGCAAATCAAAGCCAAGACTGTTTTTGGTGCTCTCTACGCTCTGGAAACGCTCTCTCAAATCGTGCGCTGGTCACCTGTTCACCAGACTTTTGTCATTCCAAACGCTCCCTGGAACATCATCGATTATCCGAAATATAAACATCGGGGTCTTCTTCTCGATACTTCACGCCATTATTACGACGTGCAAGATCTTCATAAAGTCATCGATACAATGTCATGGAACAAAATGAACGTCTTCCATTGGCATTTTCTTGATGCGACATCATTCCCTTACGCTTCCAAAGCATATCCGCAACTGGCAAACAAGGGAGCTTACAGTCCTGTACATCAGTATACAAATGATGATATTCGCAACCTGGTGCAGTATGCGAAAGAGCGTGGAGTACGCGTCATACCTGAACTTGAAGCTCCTGGACACAGTACTTCCTGGGCATACGGTCAGTATTGTTTGTGTTCGGAGCGAATGAAGTAATCAACTGCTAGTGTTGAATTATGTTAGGAATTCCTGAAATTGTATCGTGCGTCAACAAGGTTCCCTACGCAGGGTTTACCGTTCAACCACCAAGTGGCCAATTAAACATTGCTAACAGCAAGACCAAAGAAGTGGTCAATACTATCATAGATGAGTTATCTGAATTGTTTCCTGACTCGTGGTTCCATGCATCCGGTATAGTGTGGAGTAGTGTGCATTCGCTTGGGAATTTATTTTATTTTACGAAAATATAGGTGACGAAGTAATCATGAACTGCTGGACAAACGATACTCAGATCGTATCATATCTGGCAGAAAGGAACATGACCATTATGGAACTCTTTCGAAGTTTTGTCATCGATATGCAGAATCATATTCGTTCTCGCCATAAGACTGTAATGGTTTGGCAGGAAATGTTGCTAGAATATAATTTTACTCTGCCGACAGATACGATAGTGCAGATTTGGATCGGTTCTTCTGGAGTAAAAGCTGCAACTCAAAAAGGATACAAGACCGTTGTTTCTTCGAGTGATTATTGGTATTTAGATACTGGTTATGGTAAACCACGAAGCAATCCTTATTCGAATGTACCCGGAGCAGGCTACAATCATTGGAATAGAGTTTATTCTTATGATATAAGAGCGAATCTAACCGAAGACGAAGCAAATTTGATTCAGGGAGGAGAAGTTTGCATGTGGAGTGAACTGGCCGATAGGACTAACTTCGAAGGAAAAATTTGGCCACGAGCAGCAGCAGCTGGTGAACGATTGTGGTAAATGCATACATGCTTCTTCAAATTATTTACTTTTGTACATAATTAGGTCAGGCTATGAGACACCCACTGGTGAAACCATTGCGAGCGATGATGCTATTCTTCGGTTATTGCCATGGCGCGAACTTATGGTTCTTCGAGGCACGATGGCGTCGCCTCTCAATCAAGGCTTCTGCACTCGTAATCCACTTGATTGCTTCCAGTAAGAAACAAATATTTACGTTCTTCTCTTCTTCGTACTAGAGTTGAACATATTCAAACAGCTTGATACGATAATTGTGTTAACGCTTTCCTTATTTCTGAACTAAAAATAATTATATATGCGGTATAATTAGTATGCTGTGTCGACGGAAATGCTTGCTTGGCAAACTTCTTCATATACGAGACTCGGAAAGAATTCATGCTAGGAAATATTGTGAGTACTTCTGGATTTTGAATGCTTGTTAATAGAAGTCCTGCTGAGCACTACGGTGGACTATTTCCTAGCTACATTCAGTGAACAAATGTTCCCTAATGATAACGATAGAAAGTTGTATAGAATGCGGTCTGAAACGGCGTTTAGAAGCTCGAGAATGAAACTCTCCACAAGCTATGGCGGTCTTCGATAAACTATCACTACCAAAAACTTCAAAATTTTGAAAATTTTGTGAAAATTAATTAAAAAGGTGTATAAAATACTGCGCTACTAAAAGATCTTTACAGAATCTACATGGCTCTTCCTTCGATGAAAGAAACTAATCTTTCAAACAGTGTTATGTAATCCAATTTGTTCGCTTGTCAACAGATGCTTAGTTTATGGATGTTTAAAGCATTTTCCTTTCAGAAGAGGATCGTATCATTGAATAATATCATTCCTTACGCATTCTAATTATTTTCTGCTCTATGTTGTATCTTCCAGAAAACAAACACAAGTACTACGATGAATACTCATATTCTCGAGCAACATTCGCATGCTGAGTAGTTATTCATTAGAACAAACTCTAACTCATATATCAATAATCATCGTATGAAAATAAGACAAAATGTGAGATGTTCGGGCATGAGAAGTCCGATTAGTTTATTTTTTCAATAAAATCTCCCTTCAAAAATTTACATGCGACAATATACAAATAACTCGTGTCACAAATGTGCTGTACGTATAGCTGCAGTCGGCGCATTTGCTGGCATGATACGATTAAAATGCCACGCTTGCACGATAATCTTTTTCAGTTGTGGTGTAGAAAAAGCCATCGACAAACTTAATCCAATCATAGAGAGACCGAGAAACAGCCACTCAACACGCGCAAAGTAAGTGTATTCGTCTCCCGTTATGAACAGCATAATGAAAAGGATTGTACGTGGTATCTGAAGAACGATAAGAAAAGTGACAGTTATAAATATACGTCGGACGACAATGAGCTCGCGCTGTTGGCGCCGACGAACTATCAACGTCTGAGTATTTCTTCGTTGATAAAGGTATTGTGCAATACGGATATAAATGGCAAATAAGAACAACAGCGGACCTCCATAGCCGACCGATAGCAGCCAAATAACCCCACGAATGTTTCTATTTCGGACATTGCAGTAGTATTCTGTTGATATGTAGACGATATCATGCCAGAGAAGAAGTGGACAAAATAAAAGACACAGGACAATGAATTCAATAGGGGGAATAATGATGTATAACCAATAGTATTGAAACCATTGAATTGTTGAATATACAATGCGACAAAGACGAAAGAATGCCTAAAAATTCGAAAGAATGGAAGAGATAATCAACTTGTTTCATACTTACCTGATTAGCAAAACTCCAGTAGATCGTGCTTAGAAATACCGCAGCTAAGTATCCTAAAAATATGCACCACCAAGAATTAAAATCTTGCGCATACAATTCTCCTAATATCGCTTGGATATTAAATGAGATCAATATGATTGTATAGAAGAAGATCAATGAGTAGATATTGGCAGCCAGAATAATGGTGATTTTATCATCTTTATTCAATCGATTCTTAATTAGATGGTGCACAGTTCCAAGTACAATTAAAAACGAAATGAAGCATGAAAAGACATTGACGACGATTGTTATGAAATTAAGAATGAATCCAATGTTACTTGTTACCATTTTCAAAAAATATTGTTACACGAGATGAGAATCTAGTTTTTATATAGGAAGATATAGGATAGCGAAGAATATCATATATTATGTCGATTCTTCTACAATATTCTCGAAAGAAATAAATACTTGAAATGAACTCATTAGTAAAAATCTATTGTATATTCTCTTTTAAAGAGCAAATGCTGAAGAGTCACGACCATTGATTCATTTTTAATGTGAACTTTTTCTTGTCATGCATCGGGTGGTTATCAGGAAGGAAGGAAGGAAGGATGTTCGTTAGTCAGACAATCTAATTTTATCACTGTAAATATGCAATCTGCGAAGAACGTGAGTGCTCCTTTATCGTTGATACAGCTATGCCCATTGAACAGTCATGGGTAGAGTTTTTGAGTGCTGCCTTGTTATTTATTCAATAAACCAGAAAATACTTAGGCAGGAGACACTTGAAAATACAACTGCAGATTAAACTTGATGACAAGAAGCTAAAGTTAGAGTTTCTACTTTTTCAATCATCTAAACTAAACACGCAAATACACGCTTTCTAAGCAAAGTCTCTTTCTTGACATTTGAAATTGATATTTAGGAGAAGATGCCCCAAATTTTGAATCTTTTGAAACAATAAATCACTGCAGCAATAACTAGCATGATGAATATGCAATAACAACAACAAGCCATACGAATTTGGTTACTTGAGATTTCATTTTCGACAGTGAGAGCTGTATCGTCTATATCAATTGTAATTGGTTCTGCAGGCAACTCGACCCCTTGTAGAGGTCGTAAAATATCTTGAAAGTTTTCATCATGAAGCAAAGCATCTTCTGCTTTTCGGTAAAGAATCTCGTTAATTGAATTACTTGGCGGATCCATTTCTGGTTTATCGAACTTCATCATCCATCGAGGACAACTTTGATAATACTGTTTTTTCAGCTCATCAATGCGAACCATTGAAATGCTTTCACCTGTTTTACGCGCATCGATTGCACGTGCAAAGAGCTCTGCACATTCTGCGCATTCTTTCGACAATGTACCTCGGGGATGTTTGTCAGCAATGGCTTTGTGCACATTAGCAATGATACCAACGAAACTGTCAGTGAATGTATCAAGTACATAATCCACTACTCGTTCGTTGGTTACTTGTTTGTCTGATTTTTTCTCTGCAGGTGGATATAATAATGATGGAACGATATTTTCAAGTTGGAGCTCGTAGCCCTAATAAACCCAATATTGATCACCATCGAGATCCGAGCCAGCCATTTCATGAAAACTAGGTCGATGACCTTGGACAGAGAATATAATGCAATCACGTGCACACGATTCAAGCTTGTCTACACGAACCGCTCGAAGTAGGCGAATGTCTCCTGGGTGAAGACATGGATGCTTGGTCACTATGACCGGTCCTAAGAAATGAATAAATAGTGCAGAACATTCTGCATTTTTAATTCAGTCTGTACCTTCATATATGGAATATTTTTTGGAACTTGATGAACTTGGAAGGTGACGGTACTGAATAAAACATTCTCCAGGTTTTAATGTCTGTGTTTCATCAGCAATCCCAAAGAGATTGCGAGCCTCATTTATTGGCAATGGGATTTTATTTTTACGAAGAAAATGTTTCCTACAAAATTCCGATGGCGACTATACGAGTATCTGCGCTTTAACAGTATTAACTTACGCATTTCTGTATTTCAATCTCCTTTCGTTAATAAGTGCTTGATTAAGTGAATCCATTGCATTCAAATAGCATTGCGGTGGAGGATGCCAAAGCTCTTTTCGATCGATACACCGGGTTTGAATCGATTCAAAAGCGCCATTCGGAACACCCAAATCGCTCAATAACCGAATAACTTGGTTATTCAAACTCAAAGGCACTAGAAGTGCATTACAGTGAAGATTCAGTAACTAATCAATTACTCACTGGGACGAGAATGATCGACAATATGCAGAGTCCAATCATCGCTATCGAATTTCTTCATGCTTTCTCGGACAAGAATGTAAAATTCGTTCGACCTAGATTCGGGATCTATTGAGAGCATCCCTTTGTATCCAGCAATTCGCACTTGGAAAGCTGAGGGTATATCCATCTGTTATTTACAAACGAGATATTTCTCTGAGAAAAAGTCTTATGAGTAACTTACGTCGTCTTTTATTTGAATACCAATGTTTTGGGCGACTTTTCTGGCAAGACCAAGGGAAATTTTGCCACAACCATCGGTAAAAGTATATTCATTTCTTTTCTCATCAGGAATCTGGATGGCCATATACTCAGGCTCTGATTTCTTGGGCTTTCTAAACTGAAAAGTATCATATTTCAACATATGTTTCTAAGGCCGATATAACAAACGTATCAGTGTCAGTTAAAAGTCGATACTCAAGTCATTCGATTGACGAGTATATTCAGTTGACTGTCACCAGTACATTAGTAATCTCCATCATACCAGTCGTTTGATCGAAGAGAACAGAGATGATTTTCTTTTTAAATGCGGCTCACCATTGGATTTTGTTGCTTCACCCTTATACGTTAGTTTGATCTAAAAATCACATATTCACTTATGATGTAGTCCTAACTCGTACTCGTACCCCAGCTGATCTGGATGTAGTTAAATATAGGCCCACTCTTGCAATGTAGGTTGATACGCTACGAATTTTAGATACTTTGCCAATTTTCTCACGTGCTTGATCCATGTTTTCATTCGGAGGAAGTAATAAGAACCATCCGGCTTGTTCTTTCATTTGACTATTCGACGAGCCAAAATACCGATAATAACCATTGTCGCGCTGAATACCCTTGATCATTAAATNGAAACAGACGCATCTTACTCGTTAATCATTCTAGCTGCTCAATACGATAGAGTGCAAATCAAAGCCAAGACTGTTTTTGGTGCTCTCTACGCTCTGGAAACGCTCTCTCAAATCGTGCGCTGGTCACCTGTTCACCAGACTTTTGTCATTCCAAACGCTCCCTGGAACATCATCGATTATCCGAAATATAAACATCGGGGTCTTCTTCTCGATACTTCACGTCATTATTACGACGTGCAAGATCTTCATAAAGTCATCGATACAATGTCATGGAACAAAATGAACGTCTTCCATTGGCATTTTCTTGATGCGACGTCATTCCCATACGCTTCCCAAGCATATCCGCAATTAGCGAACAAGGGAGCTTACAGTTCTGCACATCAGTACACAAATGATGATATTCGCAACCTGGTACAGTATGCGAAAGAGCGTGGAGTGCGTGTCATACCTGAACTTGAAGCTCCTGGACACAGTACTTCTTGGGCGTACGGTCAGTATCGTTTGTGTTCGGAGCGAATGAAGTATCAAGTGCTAGTGTTGATTTATTTTAGGAATTCCTGAGATTGTATCGTGCGTCAACAAGGTTCCTTACACAGGGTTTACCGTTCAACCACCAAGTGGCCAATTAAACATTGCCAACAACAAGACCAAAGAAGTTGTCAATACCATCATAGATGAGTTATCTGAATTGTTTCCTGACTCGTGGTTCCATGCATCCGGTATAGTGTAGAGTATCGTGCATTCACTTGTGAATTTATTTTATTTTACGAAAATTTAGGTGACGAAGTAATCATGAACTGTTGGACAAACGACACTCAGATCGTATCATATCTGGCAGAAAGGAATATGACCATTATGGAACTCTTTCGACGTTTTGTCGTCGATATGCAGAATCATATTCGTTCTCGCCATAAGACTGTAATGGTTTGGCAGGAAATGTTGCTAGAATATAATTTTACTCTGCCGGCAGATACGATAGTGCAGATTTGGATCGGTTCTTCTGGAGTAAAAGCTGCAACTGAAAAAGGATACAAGACCGTTGTTTCCTCGAGTGATTATTGGTATTTAGATACTGGTTATGGTAAACCACGAAGCAATCCTTATTCGAATGTGCCCGGAGCAGGTTACAATCATTGGAATAGAGTTTATTCTTATGATATAAGAGCGAATCTAACCGAAGAAGAAGCAAATTTGATTCAGGGAGGAGAAGTTTGCATGTGGAGTGAACTGGCCGATAGGACTAATTTTGAAGGAAAAATTTGGCCACGAGCAGCAGCAGCTGCTGAACGATTATGGTAAATGCATACATGCTTCTTCAAATTATTTACTTTTGTACATAATTAGGTCAGGTTATGAAACGCCCACTGGTGACACGATTGCGAGTGATGATGCTATTCTTCGACTATTGCCATGGCGTGAGCTTATGGTTCTTCGAGGTACAATGGCGTCGCCTCTCAATCAAGGCTTCTGCACTCGTAATCCACTTGACTGCTTCCAGTAAGAAACAAATATTTACGTTCAAATTTGTAACAATATTCAGTCAATGTAGAACCTGAATCCAAGTTTAATACCAAATTTACCTGATCATAGATTACATTATCTATCATTACATTCTTCTCTTCTTCGTACTAGAGTTGAAAATATTCAAACAGCTTGATGCAATAATTGCGTTCGCGCTTTTCTTGTTCTTGGACTAAAAATAATTATGAATGCAGTATAATCAGCATGCTGTGCCGGAAATGCTTGCTTGGTAAACTTCTTCATATACGAGACTCGGAAAGAATTCATGCTAGAAAATATCATGAGTACTTTTGCATTTTGGATGCTTGTTAATAGAAGTCCTGTTGGGCACTGAGCGTGTGAGCACTACGGTAGATTATTTCCTAGCTACATTCAATGAACAGATGTTTCCTAATGGTAACGATAGAAACTTGTACAGAACTCGGTCTGAAACGGCGTTTAGAAGCTTGAGAATGAAACTCTGCACAGGCTATGGCGGTCTTCGATAAACTATCACTACCAAAAACGTCAAAACTTTGAAAAGTTTGTGAAAATTAATTAAAAAGCTGTATACGATACTGCGCTACCAAAAGGTCTTTACAGAATCTACATGGCTTTTCCTTCTACAAAAGAAACATCTTTCAAACGGTGTTATGTGATCCAATTTGTTTGGTTGTCAACAGATGTATTTTATGGATGTTTTAAGCATTTTCCTTTTAGAGGAGAATCGTACCATTGAATAGTATCATTCCTTACTCATTCTAATTATTTTCTGCTTTATGGATCTTCCAGAAAACAAACATAAGTACTACGATGAATACTCATGTTCTCGAGCGATACTCGCATGCTGAGTAGTTATTCATTAGAACGAACTCTAACTCATATATCAATAATCATCGTATAAAAATAAGACAACGTGTAGGGTGTTTGGGTATGAGAAGCTCGATTAGTTTATTTTTTCAATAAAATCTTCTTTCGAAAATTTACATGTGACGATATACGAATAACTCATGTCACAAATGTGCTGTACGTACAGCTGCAGTCAACGCATTTGCTGGCTTGATACGATTAAAATGCCATGTTTGCATGATAATCTTTTTCAGTTGTGGTGTAGAAAAAGCCATCGACAAACTTAACCCAATCATGGAGAGACCGAGAAACAGCCACTCAACACGCGCAAAGTAAGTATATTCGTCTCCCGTTATGAACAGCATTATGAAAAGGATTGTACGTGGTATTTGAAGAATGATAAGAAAAGTGACAGTTATAAATATACGTCGGACGACAATAAGCTCACGCTGTTGGCGTCGGCGAACTATCAACGTCTGAGTATTCCTTCGTTGGTAAATGTATTGTGCAATACGAATATAAATGACCAATAGGAACAATAGCGGACCTCCATAGCCGACCGATAGCAGCCAAATAACTCCACGAATGTTTCTATTTCGTACATTGCAGTAGTATTCCGTTGATATGTAGACGATATCATGCCAGAGAAGAAGTGGACAAAATAAGAGACACAGGATAATGAATTCAATAGGGGGAATAATGATGTATAACCAATAGTATTGAAACCATTGAATTGTTGAATATACAATACGGCAAAGACGAAAGAATGCCTAAAAATTCGAAAGAATGGAAGAAATAATCAACTTATTTCATAGTTACCTGATTAGCAAAACTCCAATAGATGGTGCTTAGAAATACCGCAGCTAAGTATCCTAAAAATATGCACCACCAAGAATTAAAATCTTGCGCATACAATTCTCCTAATATCGCTTGGATATTAAATGAGATCAATATGATTGTATAGAAGAAAATCAATGAATAGATATTGGCAGCCAGAATAATGGTGATTTTGTCATCTTTATTCAATCGATTCTTACTTAGATGGTGCACAGTTCCAAGTACAATTAAAAATGAAATGAAGCATGAAATGACATTGACGACGATTGTTATGAAATTAAGAATAAATCCAATGTTACTTGTTACCATTTTCAAAAACTATTGTTATACGAGATAAGACTCTAGTTTTTATAGGAAGATATAGGATAGCGAAGAATATCATACATTATGTCTGTTCTTCTACAATATTCTGGAAAGAAATAAATACTTAAAATGGACTCATTAGTAAAACTCTATTGTATATTCTCTTTTAAAGAGGAAATGCTGAAGAGTCACGAGCATTGATTCATTTTTAATGTGAACTTTTTTTCTTGTCATGCATCGGGTGGTTATTAGGAAGGAAGGATGTTCGTTAGTCAGACAATCTAATTTTATCACTGGAAATATGCAATCTGTAAAGAACGTGAGCGCTACTTTATCGTTGATACAGCTATGCCCATCAAACAGTCATGAGGAGAGCTTTTGAGTGCTGCGGTGTTATTTATTCAATAAACCAGAAAACACTTAGGCAGGAGGCACGTGAAAATACAACTGCAGACTAAACTTGACGACAAGAAGCTAAAGTTAGAGTTTCTACTTTTTCAATCATCTAAACTAAACACGCAAATACACGCTTTCTAAGCAAAGTCTCTTTCTTGACATTTGAAATTCATATTTAGGAGAAGATGCCCAAAATTTTGAATCTTTTGAAACAATAAATCACTGCAGCAATAACTAGCATGATGAATATGCAATAACAACAACGCATATAAATTTGGTTACTTGAGATTTCATTTTCGACAGTGAGAGCTGTATCGTCTATATCAATTGTAATTGGTTCTGCAGGCAACTCGACCCCTTGTAGAGGTCGTAAAATATCTTGAAAATTTTCATTATGAAGCAAAGCATCTTCTGCTTTTCGGTAAAGAATCTCGTTAATTGAATTACTTGGCGGATCCATTTCTGGTTTATCGAACTTCATCATCCATCGAGGACAACTTTGATAATACTGTTTTTTCAGCTCATCAATGCGAACCATTGAAATGCTTTCACCTGTTTTACGCGCATCGATTGCACGTGCAAAGAGCTCGGCACATTCTGAGCATTCTTTCGACAATGTACCTCGGGGATGTTTGTCAGCAATGGCTTTGTGCACATTAGCAATGGTACCAACGAAACTGTCAGTGAATGTATCAAGTACATAATCCACTACTCGTTCGTTGGTTACTTGTTTGTCTGATTTTTTCTCTGCAGGTGGGTATAATAATGATGGAACGATATTTTCAAGTTGGAGCTCGTAGCCCCAATAAACCCAATATTGATCACCATCGAGATCCGAGCCAGCCATTTCATGAAAACTAGGTCGATGACCTTGGACAGAGAATATAATGCAATCATGTGCACACGATTCAAGCTTGTCTACACGAACCGCTCGAAGTAGGCGAATGTCTCCCGGGTGAAGACATGGATGCTTGGTCACTATGACCGGTCCTAAGAAATGAATAAATGGTGCAGAACATTCCGCATTTTTAATTCAGTCTGTACCTTCATATATGCAATATTCTTTGGAACTTGATGAACTTCGAAGGTGACGGTACTGAATAAAACATTCTCCAGGTTTTAATGTCTGTGTTTCATCAGCAATCCCAAAGAGATTGCGAGCCTCATTTATTGGCAATGGGATTTTATTTTTACGAAGAAAATGTTTCCTACAAAATTCCGATGACGACTATATGCGATCATCTGCACTTTAACAGTATTAACTTACGCATTTCTGTATTTCAATCTCCTTTCGTTAATAAGTGCTTGATCAAGCGAATCCATTGCATTCAAATAGCATCGCGGTGGCGGGTGCCAAAACTCTTTTCGATCGATACACCGGGTTTGAATCGATTCAAAAACGCCATTCTGAACACCCAAATCGCTCAATAACCGAATAACTTGGTTATTCAAACTCAAAGGCACTAGAAGTGCATTACAGTGAAGATTCAGCAACTAATCAATTACTTACTGGGACGAGAATGATCAACAATATGCAGAGTCCAATCGTCGCTATCGAATTTCTTCATGCTTTCTCGGACAAGAATGTAAAATTCGTTCGACCTAGATTCGGGATCTATTGAGAGCATCCCTTTGTATCCAGCAATTCGCACTTGGAAAGCTGAGGGTATATCCATCTGTTATTTACAAATGAGATATTCCTCTGAGAGAAAGTCTGATGAATAACTTACGCCGTCTTTTATTGGAATACCAATGTTTTGGGCGACCTTTCTGGCAAGATCAAGGGAAATTTTTCCACAACCATCGGTAAAAGTATATCCATTCCTTTTCACATCGGGAATCTGGATGGCCATATACTCAGGCTCTGATTTCTTGGATCTTCTAAACTGAAAAGTATCATATTTCAACATATGTTTCTAAGGCCAATATATCAAACGTATCAGTGTCAGTTAAAAGTCGATACTCAAATCATTCGATTGACGAGTATATTCAGTTAACTGTCACCAGTATATTTGTAATCTCCATCATACCAGTCGTGTGATCGAAGAGAACAGAGATGATTTTCTTTTTAAATGCGGCTCACCACTGGAGTTTGTTGCTTCACCCTTATACGTTAGTTTGATCTAAAAATCACATATTCATTTATGATGTAGTCCTAACTCGTACTCGTACCCCAGCTGATCTGGATGTAGTTAAATATAGACCAACTCTTGCAATATAGGTCGATACGCTACGAATTTTAGATACTTTGCCAATCTTCTCACGTGCTTGGTCCATGTTTTCATTCGGAGGAAGTAATAAGAACCATCCGGCTTGTTCTTTCATTTGACTATTCGACGAGCCAAAATACCGATAATAACCATTGTCGCGCTGAATACCCTTGATCATTAAATTTCTAAAACGCACTCGAGTTTGAAGATCTAGTTCATGAATTTTGTCGATTCCATTAATATCTCGCATGTGAACGAGTAACCAATTTTCGGCAGGATATATCTGTAATGCTCGGTGACGTACGTTTGTTTGCAATGGTTGGTATTCAATACGGCTTGGTGTGACGATGGCATATGCAACATTCGCCGATTGCGAAGAATCCTCGGAGTCCACATGCGATTCTCTCAAGGTCTGATTTACTAACGCGTCACGAAGACGATAGCAATGATCCTCTTTTAATCTTTTCCAGATCACACAACATAGATTATACGTATTCCTTTGACGAACAGCATGCAGAAATTGTGAATCCTCATTATACTTATCTTGGAAGAGATAATCTAAGGACCAAAGCATTTCCATGGCATACGAATCAAGCGGTGAACTACACGATGGCCTCCCCATCAGCGAATGATCATTCGAAACTACTCTCCAATCGAAAAGAGCGAAATTAATATGAAGTACGTTATCAGTTGATCTTCGAGAATAGCCAGCGATGGGTAACTCACGTAAAAACACCCACGCCGTGCTGGCAGGAAAAAATCGTACGAGTAAATCACTGCACTTAGGCACTTCAGTCACTAATCGTTTGTTTTCACTAGATAGACAAATAACGGAAACGAATACAATGTCCTACAACGAAACTGTTTCTTACCAATATACATCTCTCTTTTCTTCAATAATTGGCGCTGCTTTCAGCATGAAAATAATTTGTATCGAGTTATCATTAGTTTTATGATTGATTAACACCTGTGGATGAATATCCTTTATTGGTACTGTCAAGCGGTGTGTTGCTGTATCCAGCATAATTGCTTTTGGAAATTTCATAACTTGAATACGAGCAAGCGATCGATCGTTAAAATGACCAATGAACGTATCATGGGATAGTAGGGAACCAAGACTGTAAACTACATTTATTTCATCGGGTGTTATCTTAAATATTTGACTACGATCCTCGATTTCATCGATCGATTTTGTTTGGATATTGAACCATACATGGCGATGATCAGTTGTTAGGATATCTCGCAAATGGAGACGAATAAAATAAGCAATTTTACGTTCGAAACTACTGGTTTGCTCTATTTCAGATAATTCGAAGAGCTCACGCTGACTGACTCGACTTGATCGTAATTTATCATTGATATTCTTCCAGATCATTCGACTCGCATTCGGCTTCAGCTCTAAATTCTTGAATTGACATGGAACGCAATCGCCATCAACTGATCGACTCCTGTGAAGAATGAGAACGTCATTTTCAGTGGAAACAAAGCACATTCACCTCTTCGAAGGATAGACTTAACTCTATGTGAAACACGAACGTCTGTCTACTTAAATTCACTTTCCAGTACAAAATATCTTTCAAATGTGGTCAAAGTATTTTTATTAGAAAACATACCTGTGCAGCATTCTGGTTGTCAAACGAGAGGATGAGTTTGACTGTTTATAGTTTGATTACAATCAGTAGACCACTTTTCTGTAAGATACGAATAAAGTAAATAAATTTGCTTGGAAGAGAACATTCTTTTATATATTTTCTCACACCCACTGACGACATCGTAGTGTAGAATAAATGCTCCGTTCTTCAGAAGAACAACGCAAAGTTCTCAGCACACAGAAAAAATTAACTACAATAATGCAGAATATTGTATGTTGTTGTGAATTTAATGTATAGCACGATCTCTCGTCTCCAATAGCCTATAGACAATATGTATATGTAGTTGCTCATGGATTCGATCTTTTCTCAATACGATTCATCTGAGAAGGCGTGCCAATTGTCCTTTCTTGTGTACCAGGTGGATCTCGGTGAGTTCTATCCAAAAGTATAATTACATTACCTAACAACTTCACGCAACTACCTACAGTCATCAAAATATATTTTTCCTCCCTGGAGACAATTGCATAAAAATCGTACTTCTCAAAAAAATTCGCTCGCTTACCCTATAACTAATTCAAAACTATACGTTTCGATACATCTCATTGCATCTTCTGAACTCATGAGTTTTTCTCTTTTTCTTCTCATTGCAATGATGTAGAAATAGTTCCTTAACGTTTTGTGCGCAATTAAACGTCGAGATAATTGATAAAAAAGAGCTTTTTACGCATAAAGAATTTTTCAGAAAAGAATTTCTCTATCTGAATATATTCTTTCAAAAATTTTTACTGGAGGGGGAGGGGAAATCTCCAACATAGTGAAATATGCGTTCGCTTCCTTTGTTTCCTTCCTGTCTCAGCAAAGAAAAAAAAATAAGAAAGTCATTGAAGTTTATTGATTACTCTTTGTTTTGCATATTATGTGAAATGAACCCAAGTATCGCTAAAATTTCCGTAACAATTGTCATTGAAATGAGTTAGATGTTTTTTTCCTGTCATGATCTTCATATGCGACTAATCATTGATCTACATTTTAACTATTTATGCGCATAAACAGAACACTGAGAGTGATACACATATGATCTTCTTGTCATCTACTTCGAATTGTATAGGAAACAGCTCGCGCACCTTACATCTTCTCAAAATAAGTTTCAATAGTTGTTAATCCTTTCGAACATTTATTTTGAGTTTTTGTATTTTCATCATTTCAAATTCGAATTCAATTTTGCCTAAAACTTAATTCTGCCCGACGCATATATATGACATGTTGCTCGACAGAGTTCAATGAAAAACGTTAAGTCTATATATATATATATATATAAAGAAGAAAGTTTGTTCGTTTGTCTGTTCGCTATACATTCACTTCCTGTAAGAGCTTTCATCACCAAGCTATCCACGATACTTCCTGAGGTCCAGAGAAGGGTCGACATCTACTTTGTTGCGAAAAAAAGTGAACAACACGCTTGCAGCAGGCAAATTATGAGGCTGGCCAATAGCATTCCCTGACCTATATATATATATATATATATAAAGAAGAGGTTGTCTATCTGTCTGTTCCCTATAGAATGAGCTTCTGTAATATTTACGCACGCCAAATCTTCCATAGTGCCTTCATCCACACGCTAGCTAAGGAGAAATCTTGACAAAATTCTTCATAGATGAAGAACTTCAATTAATATGAATTCGTTTTGTAGATATCATCGTAATCTATTTGAAATACTATTGAAGAACAAGTCAAAATTTGAAAATGCGTCACACATTTCTTTTTAGACAATCACGATCAATCGCAAGCTAATGTTGATTAACGACAGAAAGAAAAACAAATCGCATTAAATATAAAATATACGTATATCATATAGTAGAGTGTGTGTGACTAAAAGCGTCTAAAAAAGAGAAATATGCTTTATCTTAACAGCAGGCACTTGTCATTCGGTAAAATTTACAGAACGAATTCCAAAGAATCGAAGTTTCTCAATGAAAAAGCAAATGAAAAGTTTCTGGATATATATTTGAATACTACAAAAAAATCTTATATAAAAATCTTTCGACATTCGATCGTAGCCCGACGCGTTTATATCTGTGCGGTCCTACCTGCTAGCGAAGCAAAAAATCGACTTCAATGGATGCAATGAAAGGAAAATAAAACGTGCTTCACGATATTTTCGTTCTTTTTAATAAAAATGTTTACTACATGTTTGCAATAAAACTCAAACAGGAGCATTAACGCGTGGAAAATAACAGTTTACATATAATCGATGAAAGTAACGTTTGCATCGCCCAATAGGAAGCAAGCATTGGCTGCAGATTAGAAGAACGTTTGTTTCTCCCAAAAAAAGCTCAGAAACAAAAATCAGAAGTTCGCTTATCTTGTATTTGTTTCTAATCAATTCTACGTGGTATATAGGTAAAACAGCACATCATAGCTAGTGTTGTCTCGCATTCCACATGATGCGATGTGCTGAACAAAGACAGTCATTGCAAAAACTTTACGAAACATACAAAGTAACGAAAGTCATGCTTCTCTTTTGGCTTTTCAGAAGGCTGTACAATTACGAGTGACTTGTCAGCATGGGACTTATTGTTGATGACACGAACTGATAATCAGTATTAAATCACACCTATAGATAATGTATGTTCAAAGGCATCATTTTATAGGTGATCACTCACATGCATATTGGAATATTTCTATAAATAATGTAACAAGTAACGCTCATCCTTTGGATTCGCTGACCCTTTTCTGAAAGATTTTTCCTAATGCTGAACACATTCAGAGACTTTGAAGGAGAAAAAACACACTGCGATTGCTACTAGTGCTCAACNATTTATTGCCATGACTTTGGAAAAGCAGATCGATTGTAGATGCGGTTCTTCTGAATAGACGAACTTACGCTTTACCAAGATGTATAGTCAATACAAGAAATTTGAAGTTTTTTTTACTTCCTTTTTTTCCTTTTAATAGCTGTATGGCCAAGAAAAAGAGCTTTTCGTGCTTTTTAAAAAGTGCCTATATAATCGTCATGAGTATATTTTCATTAGAATGATAAAAGTTATAACATCTGTACTTACATTGAGAACAAAAAACAACATAGTGCTCCATCGAATCCTATTATAAAATGTATGTCGATACCTCGTCTAATCTTTTCATCAAATATTAAATCAGCTTCTGCAATTCAATGAAACTGTTTCGCAACGTAGTTCTTTGTTTGTATTCCAGTGTTCGGTCAGAATTGAAATATCACAGTCCAGAATTACGGCCTGACGTTATACTGGCACAGATCCTTCGATGAGCTTAAATAAAGCGCGCACTCGAAATGTTCTATTTTTACACGATCTTGTTTATTATAAGCTCAAAAATTAAAAGCAATAGATAGTAAATAATACGCTTACAACATCAGACATGATAAATTAGTTTGAAAATAAAACGCTCTTCTGTATGATCCTAGTCAAATAAATCAGCGCTGCTCATGATAACTTGTCGGTTATCTTCTCCGCCAGCAACTAAGACAGCTCCATTTGTTAAAACGGATGCTGTATGATAGCATCGTTCCGAATTCATCTTTCCTGTTGGCATCCAAGTATCAGCCGATGTATTGTATATTTCAGCGCTGCTTAGTATATTGTTATTCGAATAACCACCTGCGACTAATAATCGACCGTCTTCTAAAACAGACGTCGTGTGGTATTCTCTTGGAATACTCATGCTTGCTCTTTTTGTCCAAGTGCCAGTCGATGGATTGTATAGATCAACACTGTTCAGAGAAGCATTACCACGAGATCCACCTATAACCAACACCGTTCCGTCCGCTAAGAGGGTTGCTGTGTGAAATAGTCGTGTTGTACTCATACTTTCTGTTGTAGTCCAACTGCCCGTGGACGGATTATATAATTCAGCACTGTCGAGAAAACCACCGTGCAGTGTGCTCTTACCACCCACAATTAACACTAGTTTATTCTTCAAAACAGTTGCTGTGTGACTTTGACGTCTAGTGCTCATGTATCCTGCTGACGTCCAAGTGTCGTTGAATGGATCATACAATTCAGCGCTGTCGGATGTACCCGAGCCAGCCCACCCACCAGTAACTAGCACTCTTCCGTCTGCTAAGATGGATGCAGTGTGGTATTCTCTTGGACTGATCAAATCGGCTTTTGGTGTCCAGGTGTTAGATGATCGATCGTACAGTTCAACACTTCTGTGAGTAACAGTAGTATTAGATCCACCTATAACCAGTATTGTTTCATTTGATAAGAGGGATGCTGTGTGATATATTCGTGCAGTGACCATATTTGCCATTGGTGTTCAGGTCTCGTTTGAATTATTATATAACTCAGTGCTGTGGAGAGTACCAGTATCACCGTATCCACCTACAACTAGTACTGTCCCATTTGGTAGAACGGTGGCTGTATGACTTCGCCGGGCAATACTCACTTTTTCTGTGCTTCTCCATACTACATACAAAATAAATATCAGCTAATCATTCCAGACTATCGTTATCGGTTTCATGACCAACGGTCAAGTTACGAGATATATATCGATGTAACTTTTCAATTTGCATCTATGAACATCTCTCAACAATGATGTGTATCACTTTCCGATAGAAAATCACTTTCTAAACTAGTTTTCGCTGGAATGAAGTTAGTACGCAACACCTACATTTCTTTGCCTCGGTCATCACCGTTGTCGATTGACTGCCGATTGAACTCGAAGATTCATTTGCTACAAATGTGGTAGTCGCGTTTGGTACATTGTAAATCGTTGTTGTTTGAACTGATCAAAAAATAGAATTTCAGAGGGGTCCACAAGAAATTTAAGTTATCCCGGTATACACATTTTCATAGTTTATATACTCCCTTAGCTTCGTTCGTTTACTTAGATTTATCTAGCGCTTTAACGGGTCATATTGGGTCTTTTGTTCTGTATTTCTTGATAGAATGGAAGAAAATAGATAAAGCCAGCGAGCGAAGAAAGAAAGATAAAGAAGTATATTTAATTATTTATATTGTGTATATAGAGTAGGTTTTTATGAGTAGATTATTTCACGGAGGACCTGGAAGTGAGCGTTGAGGGTATTGGAAATGTTGAAAAAAAGAAAAAGATATGCATAATATTTTGAAGAAAAACGTTTTACGGTGGAAAGTGAATAAAAAGTATGAAATTTAATCTTCATAGTGAATAAAAGAGTCAGCCTGTATGTGGTATCTTGTTTTCTTTTGCTGGTCATGAATTTTCATTTAGTTGTCATTCTGCACTGTTTACTATGCATGTTGTTGGGGAGAGCAAGATTGTATACTTCGGTACATCAGATCACTTAATTTATGAATTTATTTATCAATATGCAATTTTTTCAATTCCAGATCAGATGAAAGACAATGAGAATGTTTAACGGATAAAAGAGTAAAGGGAGTATCTAAACTATGAAAACTTACACCAGGATAACTTTAATTTCTTGTAGACCTGTTGAATTTCACTTCCTACAAAAAAATGCAATCATCTGGCTACCTCGTGACTGACCTTGTTTCTTTTTCTTCTGAACAAAAACAACTGTTGGTGCAACGATAACTGCTATCACTATTGCAACGATCACTACTGCAATAATCAATTTCACTCGAGAATTCATTGTTCGTATTAAATGTGCATGCCAATCTGAATGTATATCCCTATACCAAGATAGTCAAAATATGAGCAAAAGATCTGTTAAAATTGTCAAGTATAATATAATTACACCTGTTGTTTATGCGATCAATCAAAACAGTGACGCATGATGATGTTCTCAAATAAAGAGTTGTCATGAAAGAATACTGTCAACATGACTTTCAAGCTGTAAAATAATCGAATGACATTTCAAATGACGTCAAATTATGATTGATCACAAACGCATGATAATATCTTGTTTTTGAGTTTAATAAAAAGAGATTTACTCATATTCTTTCCTTAGTTATAGAAGAAAACAAAAACGAGTAACTAGAAAAGTTATCTCTTATATATATATTCCTGACCGATTACGTTTGCGTAAAGTTTCTAATAGTTGTCGGAACTACACTATCAAAATTACTCCTAAAATTAAAAGGATAGCAAATAAAAAGATGAATTTCGAAAATTGTCGGTGATATATCGTTAAATAAAAATAATCTGCAATAGAGTATGTCACTCATCGCATAAAAGGAAGAAATGCAAGAAAGAAGGAAAGCATAAAGACAAGAGAAATTGTCGATTTTGTGTTATTGATTGATTTTTTTGGATTAAAACATGGTAGTCAATCAAAGCTCAACGTAATACTAGAGATACGTCACCATGTACTTTTCAAGATCATATGTCCGTGACAAAATGGTGTGTCACTACAGTTAATACTATCCATTCATTTTATAGAATAGAAGTTCTAGAAGCTGTGTGTGAATTTGATATAGCGTAATTAGGTCAAGTTTTCTTCCAATTCAAGAGAAGAAGATACAATGAAAAGTTTATTGTTCTGCTTCATCCGACCACGTTCGCGGAGGAACTTCAACTTCTTTTGATGTATCCAACTCTTCGACACTATGAAGTTCCTACAGAGAAAAAGAATTAAAATTCAAAAATAATGATGATAAACGAATGTACTATTGATTTAGTTAACAATGGTTTTACATAGCGACCAAACTCTTTGTAATATGGATTGTTAATGTGGGTTTGCAAATCACTTCGCTGTTCGTAACGTTCAACGATAGCAAACTTCGTTGGATCATTTACATCTGTGAGAGAAGAATATAGTAGAGTACAAATTACAGATTAGTGTATTGCTTTTACCTTGGCTGACGAACCAGTCGATAGTTCCCTTGTCTTTAGCATAGACACGATTTGCTTCAATCAGTTTTGCTTTTACTTTATCGATATGTTCACTTTTCACATCCAAATGCACGATAATAGTGAAGACCATTTGAAACACAGTTTGTTATCAATGGAAGAAAAGGCAAGTCCACGTGCACACGTGCGTATGAAATAACAAAAGTAATTCGAATGAAAGAGAAAAACCTACACTCCCCTTCTTGATTCTTACATACGATAACGTTAATGTTTTCTTTTGTCTTCTGTGAATTGACTCCATATAACACAGTCGAATAATATACTGATAGGCAGCATTTGTTTTATTTTCACTACGGTAGCCGTTATCTTTGGAACACTTCGATTTATTTATACATATTACTCGTACTGTTGAGTTCAAAAAATGCATAAGACTGTAAGGCGACTACATATACATGAAAAGTGCTCTGCGTATCGATGAAGTCCTTGTCATAACATATGACCTCAAAGTTATTGTGTTTACTGCGCCTAGCTCTTTTGTTCAATGCAGTAATTTCGTAGCATTACTAGAATTCAATCTCAGACGCCTACATGGCCGAGCAACTTCTCAAGATCGTTTCCAACGTCTGAATATTCTGCTCATGCATGTCACTCGGCACCATGTATGTACACATATGCTAAACTAGCAATCATACTTCATTCTTTCCTTTTTCTTTTGTATTCCGCGAGTTCATGTTATGAGATTTTCTGTTAGCTAGTATACAACACGCGCGCATGTTTCTCGCAGTCATTGCATTGTTAATGTTGTAATAAATAGATGACGCACTTCGAATCGTTGCCCTGACAGGGAAGAGTTTTCTGCCGTATTAATGCTTTCGACTATTTTATGAACATATACCTCTTGAGAACATCCGTTTTATTCGATCTCTTACACTTTTTGAACATCACCAATGTGAATTCTTTCAAAATCATCTACGTTATTTCGCCAATTTGAAGTCACTCACAATCAGAAATATACACCATAATGAACAGGATAGATTCTTGAGGGTAGCTTTGGTAATACCATCACTATGTGAACTTTCAATTTTTTTCCCCAAACGAAGGTGTGCTGAACAATATATCTCGTAGTGCATCGTCGAATTTGACTAAATAGATGTTACTCTTTTTAGATATGGCAAGTTAGAAACATGTAAAGCTTTACCGATGCCATACATGAAACAGCTTTGTACCAATGTACACTCGGTGAAAACATTCGTCGACTTACTGAGACTGTTTGTAAATGTTGAGCAATTAGATTTATCAATTAAGCTCTCTGTAGAATTCACAGATCTCTCAACTTCGAAACAGGGCACAATTCTTTTTTAAAAACTCTCAGAACCGTCTACAATCACGAACGAATATCGGAATCAATCTTTATGATAAAGACTTCTCAAACTATGACAAACTTTGCAGTCTCACACAAAACTTCACTCGTCTGGAGAAATTCGAATACTTCATTAATACATATCGACAGCCAGAGGATTTGAACTTGCTCTTTGCCAACGAGCAGTAACTCCCTTTGAATTCTCTTCGAAACTCAGTCTGCGACAATTATACAAGTGCAAAACATTGTCAACGCATGCATATATCATCAATACCAACGAGCTTTGAATTAAAGAAAGAATTAATCCTCGAAAATCTTCGTACCATATTTGAGAATGATTTCATTAACTGTTGTTTATCGGATGTATTAAAATAGGTAGCTATGATTGTTGCGCGGTCACCTAATTTGCATGCACTAGAATTCTGGAGTTGGTATGAATTCAGTTCAGTAATTCAACTATGTTGCATGCGCGGTTTCCAACCGGAATAAGAAAGAAAATCACAGATGTGAATATATCAATGAGCGTGGGATATGACAAACGATCAGTCCCTATAAGCATTGATCAAAACATACTGGATGGCTGCTTTCAACCATTCACTGAATCTCTCGATGATTTACGAAGAAATTTTTCCGAAATTGAGGCATCTCGAAGTTCTCGCATTGTTTCGAGATCAAGACAAATTTGATAATAACAAACAGGATTTGCTTAGTTTGAGCGACAAGAAATTGTTACATTATACACTGACGAACAGCAAAGTTTATCGTAATTTTCCTTGTTTTCGTATTTGGTTACGAGTGTCACTACGAGAAATCCTTTTAGAACTGATAACCACATGTTCTTTATTTTATTGAATAAAATAATAATAAACCAACTTCATTACTAATCTTCTGACGCGCAAGAATTTCGATCATTATTCTAAATAGAATCAAAAAGAAGATTGAAAATGGAAATATCTTTCGTGGACTATTACCAATGGTTGATAGTTATTATTATTACTGCCAGTATGAATCATTTGTAATTGTTGTCTTACGTCATGAAGTCTTACGAAACACAACATGTAATATAGGTCAAATCTTGCGAAGCCTCTTACTTTTCTTCAATATCATGTAATGCAATTTCCATTTGATCTTTCTTTCCGTGTTTCAATGTATATCCCCAATAGTCGTCCGCTATAGCACTTTCACGTTGCATGGCATCGGTAACTGTATTATACGAATAGAATAGAAAAAGGAAATACATAATTACGTAAAAACTGATTACCTTTGAATTCTTCTCTTTGAATAATACTCTCACTGACGTCAATTCGATCGATTGGTACATTATCACCAGAAACTAGTCGATTTTGGGAAATAGAATATATACAATCATTCGTGACGAACATTACCTGTTGCGCTACGTCGACAACGGCAACAAAGACTCTTCATTTTTCTGATAATATATCGGAGAAAAACAAAAAGGTAGTAAAAGATATTAAAGGGTGGTGGTAATAGAGGTTTGTCTCGATATTCCGCAACAAGCAAAAATCGTTGATATCGCCACAAGACGTGAGATTGATTTTGTACATTTTGAATTGTAAGACTACAACGAAGAGTAGACAATTGACATTTCTCAATGACTATATTTTTCTCCATACTTAAATAAAGCTACAAGTACGTTGAGAAGAAGCACGTTGGCGATAGCAACGAATAATATTGCTAAAACAAAGGCCACATCTGAATATGAGTCATTACCATCTAAACGAATAAAGAATATGAAAATGACAAATAAAACGGGAATTTTCCTCGTACCGATTGGATCGACTTGCCCAAAGACCTTCCAAACACCATAGTTGGTGACATCACGTATGGTCTGCCATGTCCACAGGTCATTTCCATTATTGGCTGTGCTGACATTATACAATGATCCATCACTATTGTAATTCCAGAACACTTGATTTGTTGTGTTAATTAATGACCATGATGCCACCGAAAAGCCATATAGAAAGATCAGAATAAAACAGATGAAGAACAGAAGATCTCTCATCTACGAATATCAATGAAATAAGAAGAACGAATGAAATGAAACTAAACAACTCACAGTATTGAATATCATAAATAATTTCAGACCGAATTTCTCATAGGCAGCAAATAAGTTCAATGTTCGAACATACCACAGTATCAAATCAAGACATAAGAAGATTCTTTAAAATGCTCATTGGAAAATCAGCAATCTCATTTGTTTTCGATTCATCTTACTTTGAAATAGTAAAAAGTGACTCATTAACGAAAAATCTTGTAATGAAACCGATGACATATAAGACAATTCCTAAAACATCGATAATATTCCATATCCTCGAAAAGAATTCTCTTTTTGAGTCGACAGAAATAAGCTGAAAAGAAAACGTTCGATATTGAAACTTCTCTAAACGACAAAATCATTACTTGACGCGCTTCTTCTATGGCTAAACACCAGAGGCAAATGTGCAGAAATATTTCCGGAATTGGTATATGTAAACCTTGAATTCCTGAACGTTGCTCTTGATAATTATTCCATGGAAAATAATCAGCAAGAAGCACGAAACTGAATAGTCCAAGAAAGATAACAAAGAATATCTGAGAAGCAAAGTTGAGAGAGAGATGATTAACATTCTACAGCGTGTGGTTACCGTATAGTAATAAAATCGTACGATAGGCGCACGATAAAAATATGCGATTTTATCGACCTTTCCAAGATAAACCCTTCCGCGATTTAAGCCCGGCCTTCGAAAATGTAGATTTCATGAGCATGGGCAAGTAAATAAATATTTTCTTACTGAATAACACTATGAATCATAGTGGGCTGACTAATTGTTGAAGGATCCCGAGCACTCCGAACCAGCTATGAAAGACCATTTCATTTTTGCGTCTTTCGACTAATTTCATACTCACTCTTTTATGTTTTTGCACATACGGCAGAAAAAAGCAAAATATTGGGAGCAGAGGGAGGAACAACGAACAAAGAAAGACCTAAAAATATAATTATATGGGCTAAGTTATTTCAAATCCATTCATACTCGAAAATGGATCGCTTGTCGTTTGTAGTTAATGTGCCCATACCTGAAAATTCATTGAACTCATCTCCTCAGTGAATCAAAGCTGTTTTTACCATTCATTGTCAATATATCTTTGCACACATTTCGATGCAATAAATGATCGACAATTGCTTTTAAGAGCTAATTGTAAGGGTGTAATATTATAAAAAACGGTACTTGGCCGTTTGAGCATATCAACAGCAAATTCTTCGTCATTGTCAAAACACCGATCGATAATCGATGCTGCATAATTATCTAGTTGACTATAAACATATTACAGAAGAGACGAAGACGCAAATGACCACAAGTAAATTTTCGTCTTACTCAGCATTGCCCATGTACTGTTGTTTCATTTCCGAATCAAGTGTGAGCCGTGCCGCTCGTCGGTAGATTAGCGCTCCAAACAAAGGAGCAACTGATGAATTCTAGAAAACAAATCATGCTATTGACTTGTCATTTAGATCATTTCGTTCTTACCCAAGTTTTCGAGCAAAGATACGTGGCAAGTTCAAATCGATCGAGAAAAATAGCCCAGAGAAATAGATCACGTGATGCGCTTTTGCCCAATCGTTGTTCATCCTTTAACGATAGTGTTCGATCAACCATAGCGCCGTTGCACTACGGAAATCTCATGTAATGACAATAATTCAGTATTTAGTCTTACCAATGATTTAAAATATGATAAATAGAATAGATCTCTCATGGATGCATCACGTTTCGCTCGAATTTTGAGAGGCAATGCGTTGCTAGTCTAGAAAGTANTGAATGATCATTCGAAGCTACTCTCCAATCGAAAAGAGCGAAATTGATATGTAGTACGCTATCCGTTGATCTTCGAGAATAGCCAGCGATGGGTAAATCACGTAAAAACACCCACGCCGTGCTGGCAGGAAAAAATCGTACGAGTAAATCACTGCACTTAGGCACTTCAGTCACTAATCGTTTGTTTTCACTAGATAGACAAATAACGGAAACGAATACAAAGTCCCACAACGAAACTATTTCTTACCAATATACATCTCTCTTTTCTTCAACAATTGGCGCTGCTTTCAGCATGAAAATAATTTGTATCGAGTTATCATTAGTTTTATGATTGATTAACACCTGTGGATGAATATACTTTATTGGTACTGTCAAGCGATGTGTTGTTGTATCTAGCATAATTGCTTTGGGAAATTTCATAACTTGAATACGAGCAAGCGATCGATGGTTAAAATGGCCCATGAACGTATCATGGGATAGTAGGGAACCAAAACTATAAACTACATTTATTTCATCGGGTGTTGTCTTAAATATTTGACTATGATCCTCAATTTCATCGATCGATTTTGTTTGGATATAGAACCATACATGACGATGATCAGTTGTTAGAATATCTCGCAAATGGAAACGAATAAAATAAGCAATTTTACGTTCGAAACTACTGAGTTGCTCTATTTCAGATAATTCGAAGAGTTCACGCTGACTGACTCGACTTGATCGTAATTTATCATTGATATTCTTCCAGATCATTCGACTCGCATTCGGCTTCAGCTCTAAATTCTTGAATTGACACGGGACGCAATCGCCATCAACTGATCGACTCCTATGAAGAATGAGAACGTCATTTTCAGTGGAAACAAAGCACATTCACCTATTCGAAGGATAGACTTAACTCTATGTGAAACACGAACGTCTGTCTACTTAAATTCACTTTCCAGTACAAAATATCTTTCAAATGTGATCAAAGTATTTTATTAGAAAACATACCTGTGCAGCATCCTGGTTGTCAAACGAGAGGATGAGTTTGACTGTTTATAGTTTGATTAGAATTAGTAGACCACTTTTCTGTAAGATACGAACAAAGTAAATAAATTTGCTTGGAAGAGAACATTCTTTTATATATTTTCTCACACCCACTGACGACATCGTAGTGTAGAATAAATGCTCCGTTCTTCAGAAGAACAACGCAAAGCTCTCAGCACAAAGAAAAAATTAACTACAATAATGCAGAATACTGTATGTTGTTGTGAATTTAGTGTATAGCACGATCTCTCGTCTCCAATAGCCTATAGACAATATGTAGATGTAGTTGCTCATGGATTCGATCTTTTCTAAATACGATTCATCTGAGAAGGCGTGCCAATTGTCGTTTATTGTGTGCCAGGTGGATCTCGGTGAGTTCTATCCAAAAGTATAATTACATTACCTAACAACTTCACGCAACTATCTACAGCCATCAAAATATGTTTTTCCTCCCTGGAGACAATTGCGTAAAAATCGTACTTCTCAAAAAAATTCGCTCGCTTACCCTATAACTAATTCAAAACTATACGTTTCGATGCATCTCATTGCATCTTCTGAACTCATGAGTTTTTCCCTTTTTCTTCTCATTGCAATGATGTAGAAATAGTTCCTTAACGTTTTGTGCGCAATTAAACGTCCAGATAATTGATAAAAAAGAGCTTTTTACGCATAAAGAATTTTTCAGAAAAGAATTTCTCTATCTGAATATATTCTTTCAAAAATTTTTACTGGAGGGGAGTGGAAATATGCGTTCGCTTCCTTTGTTTCCTTCCTGTCTGTGCAAAGAAAAAAAATAAAAAAGTCATTGAAGTTTATTGATTACTCTTTGTTTTGCATATTATGTGAAATGAGCCCAAGTATCGCTAAAATTTCCGTAACAACTGTCATTGAAATGAGTTACATGTTTTTTTCCTGTCATGATCTTCATATGCGACTAATCATTGATCTACATTTTAACTATTTATGCGCATAAACAGAACACTGCGAGTGATACACATATGATCTTTTTGTCATCTACTTCGAATTGTATAGGAAACAGCTCGCGCACCTTACCTCTTCTCAAAATAAGTTTCAATAGTTGTTAATCCTTTCGAACATTTATTTTGAGTTTTTGTATTTTCATCATTTCAAATTCGAATTCAACTTTGCCTAAAACTTAATTCTGCCCGGCGCATATATATGACATGTTGATCGACAGAGTTCAATGAAAAACGTTCAGTCTATAAATATAAAGAAGAAGGTTTGTTCGTTTGTCTGTTCGCTATACATTCACTCCCTGTAAGAGCTTTCATCACCAAACTATCCACGGTACTTCCTGAGGTCCAGAGAAGGGTCAACATCTACTTTGTTGCGAAAAAAAGTGAACAACACGCTTGCGGCAGGCAAATTATGAGGCTGGCGAATAGCATTCCCTGACCTTTATATATAAAGAAGAGGTTGTCTATCTGTCTGTTCCCTATAGATTGAGCTTCTGTAATATTTACGCTCGCCAAATCTTCCATAATGCTTTCACCCACACCCTCAGCGTCTAAAATTCCAAAGAATTGAAGTTTCTCAATGAAAAAGCAAATGAAAAGTTTCTGGATATATATTTGAATACTACAAAAAGATTTTATATAAAAATCTTTCGACATTCGATCGTAGCCGACGCGTTTATGTCTGTACGGCCCTACCTGTTAGCGAACCAAAAAACAATCGACTGCGGTAGATGCAAAGAAGGAAAGCAAAACGTATTTGACGATATTTTCGCTCTTTTTAATAAAAATGTTTACTACACGTTTGCAATAAAACACAAACAGGAGTATTACCGCGTGGAAAATAACAGTTTACATATAATCGACGAAAGTAACGTTTGCGTCGCCCAATAGGAAGTGAGCATTGGCTGCAGATTAGAAGAACGTTTGTTTCTCACAAAAAAAAACTCAAAAACGAAAATCAGAAGTTCACTGATCTTGTATTTGCTTCTAATCAATTCTATGCGGTATATAGGTAAAACAGCACATCATAGCGAGTGTTGTCTCGCATTCCACATGATGCGATGTGCTGAACAAAGACAGTCACTGCAAAAACTCTACGAAACATACAAAGTAACGAAAGTTATGCTTCTCTTTTGGCTTTTTAGAAGGCTGTACAATTACGAGTGACTTGTCAGCATGGAATTGATTGTTGATGACACGAACTGATAATCAGTATGAAATTACACCTGTAGATAATGTAATTATCAGTTGTAGATATATTTATTGCCATGGCTTTGGAAAAGCAGACCGATTGTAGATGCGGTTCTTCTGAATAGAAGAACTTACGCTTTACCAAGATGCATAGTCAATACAAGAAATTTGAAGTTGTTTTTACCTCCTTTTTTTCCTTTTAATAGCTGTATGGCCAAGAAAAAGAGCTTTTCGTGCTTTTTAAAAAGTGTCTATATAATCGTCATGGGTATATTTTCATTAGAATGATATAAAAGTTATAACATCTGTACTTACATTGAGAACAAAAAGCAACATAGTTCTCCATCGATTCCTATTATAAAATGTATGTCGATACCTCGTCTAATCTTTTCATCAAATATTAAATCAGCTTCTGCAATTTAATGAAACTGTTTCGCAACGTAGTTCTTTGTTCGTATTGCAGTGTTCGGTCAGAATTGAAATATCACAGTCGAGAATTGCGGCCTGACGTTATATACTGGCATAGATCCTTCGATGTGCTTAAATAAAGCGCGCACTCGAAATGTTCTATTTTTACACGATCTTGTTTATTACAAACTTAAAAATTAAAAGCAATAGACAGTACATAATACGCTTACAACATCAGACACGATAAATTAGTTTGAAAATAAAACGCTCTTCTGTATGATCCTAGTCAAATAAATCAGCGCTGCTCACGATAACTTGTCGGTTATCTTCTCCGCCAGCAACTAAGACAGCTCCATTTGTTAAAACGGATGCTGTATGATAGCATCGTTCCGAATTCATCTTTCCTCTTGGCATCCAAGTGTCAGCCGATGTATTGTATATTTCAGCGCTGCTTAGTATATTGTTATTCGAATAACCACCTGCGACTAACAATCGACTGTCTTCTAAAACAGACGTCGTGTGGTATTCTCGTGGAATACTCATGCTTGCTCTTTTTGTCCAAGTGCCAGTCGATGGATTGTATAGATCAACACTGTTCAGAGAAGCATCACCACGAGATCCACCTATAACCAACACCGTTCCGTCCGCTAAGAGGGTTGCTGTGTGAAATAGTCGTGCTGTACGCATACTTTTTGTTGTTGTCCAACTGCCCGTGGACGGATTATATAATTCAGCACTGTCGAGAAAACCACCGTGCAGTGTGCTCTTACCACCCACAATTAACACTAGTTTATTCTTCAACACAGTTGCTGTGTGACTTTGACGTCTAGTGCTCATGTATCCTGCTGACGTCCAAGTGTCGTTGAATGGATCATACAATTCAGCGCTGTCGGATGTACTCGAGCCAGCCCACCCACCAGTAACTAGCACTCTTCCGTCTGCTAAGATGGATGCAGTGTGGTATTCTCTTGGACTGATCAAATCTGCTTTTGGTGTCCAGGTGTTAGATGATCGATCGTACAGTTCAACACTTCTGTGAGTAACAGTAGTATTAGATCCACCTATAACCAGTATTGTTTCATTTGATAAGAGGGATGCTGTGTGATATATTCGTGCAGTGACCATATTTGCCATTGGTGTTCAGGTCTCGTTTGAATTATTATATAACTCAGTGCTGTGGAGAGTACCAGTATCACCGTATCCACCTACAACTAGTACTGTCCCATTTGGTAGAACGGTGGCTGTATGACTTCGCCGGGCAATACTCACTTTTTCTGTGCTTCTCCATACTACATACAAAATAAATATCAGCTAATCATTCCAGACTATCGTTATCGGTTTCATGACGAACGGTCAAGTTACAAGATATATATCGATGTAACTTCAATTTGCATCTATGAACATCTCTCAACAATGAAGTGTATCACTTTCCGATAGAAAATCTCTTTCTAAACTAGTTTTCGCTGTAATGAAGTTAGTACGCAACACCTACATTTGTTTGTCTCGGTCATCACCGTTGTCGATTGACTGCCGATTGAACTCGAAGATTCATTTGCTACAAATATGGTAGTCGCGTTTGGTACATTGTAAATCGTTGTTGTTTGAACTGATCAACAAATAGAATTTCAGAGGGGTCCACAAGAAATTGAAGTTATCCCGGTATACACATTTTCATAGTTTATATACTCCCTTAGCTTCGTTCGTTTACTTAGATTTATCTAGCGCTTTAACGGGTCATATTGGGTCTTTTTTTCTGTATTTCTTGATAGAATGGGAGAAATTAGATAAAGCCAGCGAGCAAAGAAAGAAAGATAAAGAAATATATTTAATTATCTATATTGTGTGTATAGAGTAGCTTTTTATGAGTAGATTATTTCACGGAGGACGTGGAAATGAGTGTTGAGGGTATTGGAAATGTTAAAAAAAAAGAAAAAGAGATGCATAATATTTTGAAAAAAACGTTTTACGGTGGAAAGTGAATAAAAGGTATGAAATTTAATCTTCATAGTGAATAAAAGAGTCAGCATGTATGTGATATATTGTTTTCTTTTGCTGGTCATGAATTTTCATTTAGTTGTCATTCTGCACTGTTTACTATGCATGTTGTTGGGAAGAGCAAGACTGTATACTTCGGTACATCAGATCACTAAATCTATGAATTTATTTACCAATATGCAATTTTTTCAATTCCAGGCCAAATGAAAGACAATGAGAATGTTTAACGGATAAAAGAGTAAAGGGAGTATCTAAACTATGAAAACTTACACCTGGATAACTTTAATTTCTTGTAGACCTGTTCAATTTCACTTCCTACAAAAAAATGCAATCATCTGGCTACCTGGTGACTGACCTTGTTTCTTTTTCTTCTGAACAAAAACAACCGTTGGTGCAACGATAACTGCTATCACTATTGCAATAATCACTACTGCAATAATCAATTTCACTCGAGAATTCATTTTTCGTATTAAATGTGCATGCCAATCTGAGTGTATATCCCTACCAATGTAGTCAAAATATGAGCAAAAGATCTGTTAAAATTGTCAAGTATAATATACACCTGTTGTTTATACGATCAATCAAAACAGTGACGCATGATGATGTTCTCAAATAAGCTGTGCATGTTGTTGTAGAGTTGTCATGAAAGAATACTGTCAACATGATTTTCAAGTTGTAAAATAATCGAATGACATTTTAAATGACGTCAAATTATGATTGATCACAAACACATAATAATATATTGTTTTTGAGTTTAATAAAAAGAGATTTACTCATATTCTTTCCTTAGTTATAGAAGAAAATGAAAACGAGTAACCAGAAAAGTTATCTCTCATATATATATTCCTGACCGATTACGTTCGCGCAAAGTTTCTAATAGTTGTCAGAACTACACTATCAAACTTGCTCCTAAAATTAAAAGGATAGCAAATAAAAAGATGAATTTGAAAAATTGTCGGTGATATATCGTTAAATAAAAATAATCTTCAATAGAGTATGTCACTCATCGCATCAAAGAAGGAAAGCATAAAGACAAGAGAAATTGTCGATTTTGTGTTATTGATTGACTTCTTTGGATTAGAACATAGTAGTCAATTAAAGCTCAACGTAATACTGGAGATATGTCACCATGTACTTTTCACGATCATATGTCCGTGATTCTAGAAGCGATGTGTGAATTTGATATAGCGTAATTATGTAAAGTTTTCTTTCAATTCAAGAGAAGAAGATACAATGAAAAGTTTATTGTTCTGCTTCATCCGACCACGTTTGCGGAGGAACTTCAACTTCTTTTGATGTATCCAATTCTTCGACACTATGAAGTTCCTACAGAGAAAAAGAATTAAAATCCAAAAATAATGATGATAAACGAACGTACTATTGATTTAGTTAACAATGGTTTTACATAGCGACCAAACTCTTTGTAATATGGATTGTTAATGTGGGTTTGCAAATCACTTCGCTGTTCGTAACGTTCAACGATAGCAAACTTCGTTGGATCATTTACATCTGTGAGAGAAGAATATAGTAGAGTACAAATTACAGATTAGTGTATTGCTTTTACCTTGGCTGACGAACCAGTCGATAGTTCCCTTGTCTTTAGCATAGACACGATTTGCTTCAATCAGTTTTGCTTTTACTTTATCGATATGTTCACTTTTCACATCCAAATGCACGATAATAGTGAAGACCATTTGAAACACAGTTTGTTATCAATGGAAGAAAAGGCAAGTCCACGTGCACACGCGCGTATGAAATAACAAAAGTGGAATGTAAGAGACAAACTTACACTCCTCTTCTTGATTCTTACATACGATAACGTTAATGTTTTCTTTTTGTCTTCTGTGCATTGACAACATGTAACATAGTCGAATAAGATGCCGATAGGCAGCATTTGTTTTATTTTCACTACGGTAATCGTTATCTTTGGAATACTTAGATTTTTTATTTATACATATTACTCGTACTGTTGAGCAACGCCTGAATATTCTGCTCATGCATATACACATATGTTAAACTGGCAACCATACTTCATTCTTTCCTTTTTCTTTTGTATTCCGTGATAGTCCATGTTATGAGATTTTCTGTTAGCTAGTATACAACACGCGCGCATCTTTCTCGCGGTCATTGCATTGTTAATGTTGTAATAAATAGATGGCGCACTTCGAATCGTTGCCCGATGAACTATTGCTACTAAGATTTTCTTATTTACACAAATGTGATCCACTGTATAGATTTAGCAAGTTTAATCAAAGGTTTCGGGAAATTGTTCGACCACATATATATTACGTTGACCTGATAGGGAAGAGTTTTCTGCCGGATTAATGCTTTCGACTTTGAGAATATTCGTTTTATTCGATCTCCTACACTTTTTGAACATCACCAATGTGAATTCTTTCAAAATCATAAATAGACATCATGGTGAACAGAATAGATCCTTGAGGGAATCTCTGGTAATACCATCACTATGTGAACTTTCAATTTTTTCCCCGAACGAAGATGTGCTGAACAATATATCTCGTGGTGCATCGTCGAATTTGACTAGATAGATGTTAATCTATAACTCGATTCCGAAACAGGACACAATTTTTCTTTAAACTTTCAGAACCGTCTGCAATCACGATCGATTATTGGAATCACTCTCTATGATAAAGACTTCTCAAACCATGGCAAATTTTGCAGTCTCACACAAAACTTCACTCGTCAGGAGAAATTCGAATACTTCATTAATACAGATCGACAGTCAGAGGATTTGGACTGTTGTTCATCGGATGCATTAAAATAGATGGCTATAATTGTTGCGCGGTCACCTAATTTTCATGCACTAGAATTCTGGAGTTGGTATGAATTCAGTTCAGTAATTCAACTATGTCGCATGCGGTTTCCAACCCGAATAAGAAAGAAAATCACAAATGTGAATATATCAATGAGCGTAGAATATGACAAACGATAAGTCTCTTGATCGAGATTCGTACATGACTTTTTCCGAATACAAAGAAACTTTTTATAAGCATTGATCAAAACATACTAGATGGCTACTTTCAATCATTCACAGAATCTCTCGATGATTTACGAAGAAATTTTCCCGAAATTGAGGCATCTCGAAGTTCTCGCATTGTTTGGAGATCAAGACAAATTTGTCAATAATAAACAGGATTTGCTTGGTTTGAGCGACAAGAAATTGTTACATTATACACTAACGAACAGCAAATTTTATCGTAATTTTCCTTCTTTTCGTATTTGGTTACGAGTGTCACTACGAGAAATCCTTTTAGAACTGATAATCACATGTCCTTTATTTTATTGAATAAAGTAATAATAAACCAACTTCATTACTAATCTTCTGACTGGCAAGAATTTCGATCATTACTCTAAATAGAATCAAAAAGAAGATTGAAAATGAAAATATCTCTCGTGGACTATTACCAATGGTTGATAATTATTCTTATTGCTACCAATATGAATCATTTGTAATTGTTGTCTTACGTCATGAAGTCTTAGGAAACACAACGTGTAATATAGGCAAAATCTTTCAAAACCTCTTACTTTTCTTCAATATCATGTAATGCAATTTCCATTGGATCTTTCTTTCCGTGTTTCAATGTATATCCCCAGTAGTCGTCCGCTATAGCACTTTCACGTTGCATGGCATCGGTAACTGTATTATACGAATAGGAAGAAAAAGGAAATAAATAATTACGTAAAAACTGGTTACTTTTGAATTCTTCGCTTTGAATAATACTCTCACTGACGTCAATTCGATCGATTGGTACATTATCACCAGAAACTAGTCGATTTTGGAAAATAGAATATATACAATCATTCGTGAAGAACATTACCCGTTGCGCCATGTCGACAACGGCGACAAAGATTCTTCATTTTTCTGATAATATATCGGAGAAAAACAAAAAGGTAGTAAAAAATATTAAAGGGTGGTGGTAATAGAGGTTTGTCTCGATATTCCGCAACAAGCAAAAATCGTTGATATCGCCACAAGACGTGAGATTGATTTTGTACATTTTGAATTGTGAGACTACAACGAAGAGTAGACAATTGACATTTCTCAATGACTATATTTTTCTCCATACTTAAATAAAGCTACAAGTACGTTGAGAAGAAGCACGTTGGCAATGGCAACGAATAATATTGCTAAAACAAAGGCCACGTCCGAATATGAGTCATTACCATCTAAACGAATAAAGAATATGAAAATTACAAATAAAACGGGAATTTTCCTCGTACCGATTGGATCGACTTGCCCAAAGACCTTCCAAACACCATAGTTGGTGACATCACGTATGGTCTGCCATGTCCACAGGTCATTTCCATTATTGGCTGTGCTGACATTATACAATGATCCATCACTATTGTAATTCCAGAACACTTGATTTGTTGTGTTAATTAATGACCATGATGCCACCGAAAAGCCATATAGAAAGATCAGAATAAAACAGATGAAGAACAGAAGATCTCTCATCTACGAATATCAATGAAATAAGAAGAACGAATGAAATGAAACTAAACAACTCACAGTATTGAATATCATAAATAATTTCAGACCGAATTTCTCATAGGCAGCAAATAAGTTCAATGTTCGAACATACCACAGTATCAAATCAAGACATAAGAAGATTCTTAAAGATGCTCATTGGAAAATCAACAATCTCATTCTTTTCGATTCGTCTTACTTTGAAACAGTAAAAAGTGACTCATTAACGAAAAATCTTGTAATGAAACCAATGACATATAAGACAATTCCTAAAACATCGATAATATTCCATATCCTCGAAAAGAATTCTCTTTTTGAGTCGACAGAAATAAGCTGAAAAGAAAACGTTCGATATTGAAACTTCTCTAAACGACAAAATCATTACTTGACGCGCTTCTTCTATGACTAAACACCAAAGGCAAATGTGAAGAAATATTTCCGGAATTGGTATATGTAAACCTTGAATTCCTGAACGTTGCTCTTGATAATTATTCCATGGAAAATAATCAGCAAGAAGCACGAAACTGAATAGTCCAAGAAAGATAACAAAGAATATCTGAGAAGCAAAGTCGAGAGAGAGAGAGATGATTAACATTCTACAGCGTATGGTTACCGTATAGTAATAAAATCGTACGATAGGCGCACGATAAAAATATGCGATTTTATCGATCTTTCCAAGATAAACCTTTCCGCGATTTAAGCCAGGCCTTCGAAAATTTAGATTTCATGAACATGGGCAAGTAAATGAATATTTTCTTACTGAATAACACTATGAATCATAGTGGGTTGACTAACTGTTGAAGGATCTCGGGCACTTCGAACCAGCTAGGAAAGACCATTTCATTTTCGCGTCATTCGACTAATTTCATACTCACTCTTTTATGTTTTTGCACATACGGCAGAAAAAAGCAAAATATTGGGAGCAGAGGGAGAAACAACGAACAAAGAAAGACCTAAAAGTATAATTATATGGGCTAAGTTATTTCCAATCCATTCATACTCGAAAATGAATCGCTTGTCGTTTGTAGTTAATGTGTCCATACCTGAAAATTCATTGAACTCATCTCCTCAGTGAATCAAAACTGTTTTTACCATTCATTGTCAATATATCTTTGCACACATTTCGATGCAATAAATGATCGACAATTGCTTTTAACAGCTAATTGTAAGGGTGTAATATTATAAAAAACGGTACTTGGTCGTTTGAGCATATCAACAGCAAATTCTTCATCATTGTCAAAACACCGATCGATAATCGATGCTGCATAATTATCTAGTTGACTATAAAAATATTATAGAAGAGAAGACGCAAATGACTGCAAGTAAATCTTCGTATTACTCAGCATTGCCCATGTACTGCTGTTTCATTTCTGAATCAAGTGTGAGCCGCGCTGCTCGTCGGTAAATTAACGCTCCGAATAAAGGAGCAACTGATGAATTCTAGAAAACAAATCGCACTATGGACTTGTTAATTAGATCAGTTCGTTCTTACCCAAGTTTTCGAGCAAAGATATGTGGCAAGTTCAAATCGATCGAGAAAAATAGCCCACAGAAATAGATCACGTGATGCGCTTTGACCCAATCGTTGCTCATCCTTTAACGATAGTGTCCGATCAACCATAGCGCCGTTGCACTACGAAAATCTCGTGTAATAGCAATAATTCAGTATTTAGTCTTACCAATGATTTAAAATATGATAAATAGAATAGATCTCTCATGGATGCATCACGTTTCGCTCGAATTTTGAGAGGCAATGCGTTGCTAGTCTAGAAAGTAAAATAATCGTTATTGTATCGTCAAGTGAGAATGAACTTCTTATTACATTTGCTGTTTTGTACAATTCTTTGAGGTCGGCAACTGTTAAGTTCTCAAGCGATGTACCAAATTCGATCAGTAACTCAACAAAATCAACGTGACCACGACGAAGTGCATCGACCAGAGCTCGACGAAGATTAGGTTCCTTGAATGAGATATGCAAAAGATGTAATACATAAGTCACAATAACATACTTTCCATTTTGATATGGTTGTATCCGTGAGAAGATAGTTTTGGGTGTAATCAAATTTATGCCATGCCTAAGCAGCATAGATCGAGTTTTACGCTTTTTTTTCAAATATTTAACGCATACTAGAGCTAGTTTAAGTTCAGCGGTGCGTCGATGTTGTTCGTTAGTATCACCGGAGAATTTCGCAGCTGGATGGAAAAGAAGTTATGCGAAAAAAGGTTGGGAAAACTGATATTTACCATTGAATAAAGCTTCAAGAATAGCATCTTCGAGATTACCATTATGTTTTTTACCATCGAATTTGAATATTGTCACTAATTCATGGCGTTCGCTTAATACTCGACACAGATCACTTTTGATTTCATCAATCCAAGCATTATCATTTTTTGCTTTTGTCAAACTAAGTTCATTGAAATCGAAATGATTATTCAGCATAAATTATCCACTTACATCTTATTAATTTCTACTTCTCGCGAATCGCTTCTACTAGCAGCAGTTTGTGGCCGTAAAGGAAATATGTTGTTACCAGTATTATTCTCATTCTCAGGGTAACAAGCATAGAGTTCAGCGACTAGATCAGCAGCGCGACCGGAATCCTTGAGAGAAATGAAACTCGAAAGTATTCCTTCCTGATGAAACTATATATTTATACTTTGACGACGACCACTGGTGTGTTTGAGTCAAGCGCTTGACATATGGTTCTAATGGATGATGGGCCACCTTCAACCAAAACCATAACAATAGGTATGAGTGTTTGTTCTGTTTCGTCTTCTACAACTGTTTGTGAACAACTGTGACGACAATATTTCTCGATTTCGGCTCGTAGAGGAAGAACAGTATCAGCACTTGTGCCACCATCGTCAAATAACAGAAAATGAGTATGATTCGGTTCTAAATCACATCGTTTCTTTAATTTTTCTTTCACTACGTNTTATTGTATCGTCAATTGAGAATGAACTTCTCATTACATCTGCTGTTTTGTACAATTCTTTGAGATCTGCAACTGTTAAGTTCTCAAGCGATGTACCGAATTCGATCAGTAACTCAACAAAATCAACGTGACCACGACGGAGTGCATCGACCAGAGCTCGACGAAGATTAATTTCCTTGAATGAGATGTAAAAAAGGTGTAACATATAAGTCACAATAACATACTTTCCATTTCGATATGGTTGTATCCGTGAGAAGATAGTTTTGGGTATAATCAAATTTATGCCATGCCTAAGCAGCGTAGGTCGAGTTTTACGCATTTTAAAAAAAAAAATTTAACACATACTAGAGCTAGTTTAAGTTCAGCGGTGCGTCGATGTTGTTCATTAGTATCACCGGAGAATTTAGCAGCTAGATGGAAAAGAAGTTATGTGAAAAAGGATTGAAAAAATTTATTTTTACCATTGAACAAAGCTTCAAGAATAGCATCTTCGAGATTACCATTATGCTTTTTACTGTCGAATTTGAATATTGTCACTAATTCGTGCCGTTCGCTTAATACTCGACACAGATCACTTTTGATTTCATCAATCCAAGCATTATCATTTTTTGCTTTTGTCAAACTAAGTTTATTGAAATCGAAATGATTATTCAGCATAAATTATCCACTTACATCTTATTGATTTCTACTTCTCGCGAATCGCCTCTACTAGCAGCAGTTTGTGGCCGTAAAGGAAACACATTGTTACCAGTACTATTCTCATTCTCAGGGTAACAAGCATAGAGTTCAGCCACTAGATCAGCAGCGCGACCGGAATCCTTGAAAGAAATGAAACTTGAAAGTATTCCTTCCTGATGAAACTATATGTTTATACTTTGACGACGACCACTGGTGTGTTTGACTCAAGCGCTTGACATATGGTTCTAATGGATGATGGACCACCTTCAACCAAAACCATAACAATAGGTATGAGTGTTTGTTCTGTTTCGTCTTCTACAACTGTTTGTGAAGAACTGTGACGACAATATTTTTCGATTTCGGCTCGTAGAGGAAGAACAGTATCAGCACTTGTGCCACCATCGTCAAATAACAGAAAATGAGTATGATTCGGTTCTAAATCACATCGTTTCTTTAATTTTTCTTTCACTACGTAATTTCTAACACAATATTCATCCGCTACGTCCTAAAAATTACATGAAAAACAAAGTGTAGGATTATTTCTTTATTATTAGAAGATTTTCCAACTAACCATATGAATAGCGTCCAAACTTTGACTTCGCATGCTTTTCATAAGTAGATGAGATCCCTTTGAATATCCATTCATTGATGTTGGCCAAATACTAGCAGGCTTACTGAGCAATTCATTTCCTGCTGTATAACCCCAACTACCAATACCGATGCAAGGAACATCAAGTCCGTGTTTTTCGTTCTTATAACGATAGTTATTCAGAGCCTCACCGACTTCTTTCACAACACCTGCATTTGTACCAGCGGTAATTAGCCATGCGTCTATGAATACTCGAAAGTAGATCATTTTCGGATATTCACAAGTATTTTACTGGTGTTAACAGCAGCAGCGACTAAACCACGTTGAAATACTTTCTTCAGTCGAGTGGACATTTCGAAACTTTTCGCACCACCAGTGACAGATATGATCAAGTCAGGATTGGGTAAACCCCATCCATCCTTCATAAATTTGACGACTGTTTCAGCACTTGTATTCAAACTTAATCGAATGTATTCTGAAAGACGCGTAGATGAATCCAATTCATTCTCATCGAATTTGAGAAAACCAAAATCCATAGTTAATTCGTTTGAACTACATCGCAAAACTCAATCTCTTTTTCATTCATAAATTTTGTCAACTTACGCATCTTGTTGACAAATTGCCAATGACTTAATTTTCTAAACAAGGAAAATTTATGACTACTGACCTTTCAAATACTTTTATTACCTTTTGAACGTTGCGCATTTGTTCAGCAATTTCTCCAGCCATTTCCTGTATGAATACTCCGTTCAAATTCTGAAAAAAACGAAGAATCTATTTACTATATATAAAACAGATCGCAACAGAAGAATGATGTTACGCCGACATTATTTCAGTTGCACAAGCAAAAGACTTATTCATGCAAGAATTTAAAGGAAAGGAAAAAGTACATTGTTGCTTGTTGCCATGGGTTTATTTACCTTCCTCTCCTATTCGTAATAAGAAACGAGTTGACAGAAATAGATGATTGTCGATTCGTCCAACCATGACACATTCACATGCCGATTGTTGACGAAGGAGAAATAAGCTGCAGTTACAGCATTAATCTAACAAAATGACGTTTCAAGTGTTTTCGCTTCACCTATTGTACTTTTAGAGGTTTGGGAGCACAAAGAAGTATACATGTGTTTAAACATAAACTCGTCATTTGTTCGACAAACATTCCAAGAAACAAATCTTGCCACGTAAAGCTGATAGAATGATGGCTATTCACCGCATTGTACTTGCAAAAAAATAAACTTTTTAAACAAACAACAAATCCGCGTTCAATGTCTGACTGATCTCAACTAAAATTCTTGCCGTCGTGTCTCTTAGTGTTATTTCGCATGGAATCTTTTTAGAAAAAAACCAGCATCGTAGTATTCAAATACAGAAAACATTCGGATCTTTATTGTTATTTTTAAATGCAAAAAAAATGAGAATAGACTACATTATGATTTGTATACGAATGTGTTTATTGTTGCTTGGAATTGCTTGATGAATCCTAATAATTGAAGTAAGTCAACGGATCATCTAAACAATCACAATAGAAATATGCTTTTGAATTTTGTTTACATGAATACCTTCTGTGAATACACATGTTGCAACATCATGCTTGAATGTTTCATGCAAAGAATAAAAATCGTATTTAGCATGATGTGCTTGTCGATGAACTCGAATATGAATGAAGAGTCCATCGCCAATAAATACCTTCATGAAATAGTTGATGCCATAGGCCGCCACTTCTTCGGCATATTTTGTTACTCTAGGAGTTTCTATGATTGTCATTTTCAGACAGAAAATGTAAGCAAACTCACTTCCAAGCAGCAATATGTTTTTCACGATGTTCTTCAGTGAAATGATGCACTTGATTTTCGTGGTGTTTTTTATGTAGTTCATGGATTGCTGCATGTTTTATTTCAGGCCGTTCGCTATCGAAGATCGAATAAAATCATCAATTATAACTGTATGAGTTATGTACCTTAATTCTTGAATTTCAGGTGTGGCATCCTGAAAGAAGAAATATCACCGTGAACATCGTTTAAAGTGAAGTTCTTCGTATGAACAAACCATAACAGGACCCATGCTATTTTGATGCTCGTCAGACATAATTGAAACTTGTCGAAATAACGAAATTTATGGACTTTTTTATGTGTGCAATGTCAGTGAGCTGTCGCGTGTTTGTAGCCAAGAAAGACAGTAAGAAAAATATTCTCTATAGTTTAAAATACTCTTTTTTTTCTTTCTTTTCCTTTCCTGTCTTTGTCAGTGCTCGAAGTGAGGAGAAGAAGAAAGAAATATTTTTTTTCTTGCACATGTCGCTGGTTGAGTGCCCGGAAAACAATGGCATGTTAAGAACAAAATGCTTAGTAAAATTGAGAATGATGGGAGACTGCTTATACAATCAATGTCCATAGAAGAGAAAAAACATGCTACCGATCCATTATAGACGAAAGATATGAATGATGACCGACACATTCTTGTTCCTGCTCTTATTGATGGATAAAAGAGCGCAGAAAACAGCAATGTATCTTATTTTGACAAAAGATCTTGTATCGATTCGTATAGTGAAAACACTAGTCAGTGAATATCATCTAACTGCACATTTCTCTACCAAATCGCAGTTACGTACGCGGGTCGCAGTACAAACGATTCCCTAATTCAAGTCACGAGTGAATGAAAAACATCATCTAAGATCAAGAGAAGTTCAACGTAAACAACTGGATACACTGGGCTTCGGCAACTCTTTTAGTAGTAAAGGAAACTTTTAGCACAATTGGCTACTTGTATATAAACTACCGCGCAGCGCTATAAATTATTAAAAAAGTCCGTACAACCAGAAAAACTCCTCAGTCGAGTCGGCATAAATATAGAGAACACTAAAACATATATTAGGTTTAGTTTTGAGGATATATTATATTAATAGAGATTCATTTCTGATTATCTTCTTTTCATAAGAGAGAACTTCATCCATGATAATTCCCTCTTCAGTGTTCTGCTAATAATTCGATCGAATCTTTGATGATGTCCTAAGCCAGAAAGATCGCTAAATTTTTTTCAATTTATTTTGGGAGCGGACAATGAAGTACGTATATAGAAGAACGTAAACAAGCAAGGAGTCAGAATGTAAATTTATAGGATTCTTCTTGAGAAGAAAGGAAATACTCAGAAAAATTCGTTTTTGAGTACGTGTTAATTCTGCTTGAATGGCATTCTTGATGCGATTGCATTCTGCATTGTTTTCATGGATTTAGTGAATTGTTTTTTGTAGTGCTTCGATGGTAAGATGAATAAAATCGATGTCAACATCGGAGGAATAAATGAGATAAAATAGCCCATGAGTGGTAACCAAGCATCAGTTGTTGATTTCATACAATTGGAGACAAATGAAAGAATTAAACGTGGTAATGCCAAACTGATGAGAATAATCGGAGCAATGAGAAGATGTTTGTGTTCTTGAAATTGTGCTAAGAGTAATTGTTGGTAGGACAGATTAGTGCGAACGATGGTACGTTGTTTTGCGGTCATACTAATAATGAGTAAAGCGGAAATTAGATTAAGCACAAATGGAAAGAGAAAATGAATTAAATTTATAATAGAGTTATACGTTTGGATCTTCGCTGGATAATTCACAATGCACCAAATTCGTTTTCCCATCTCGTTGTCGTCTTCATTGTTATCATGGATCAAACGTCGATGAATCGGATCATGAATGTTTGTTATTCCAGTCCAAACGAATAGAAGAATTATAGCGTATTTGGCTACTCGTTTACTTTTCTTCTGATCGAATTTAACGCCCTTGCGAACAGTAATTAATCGTTCTACAGCAACACACGCATTCATGTACTGATCCATAGTTAGACCTATTCGGATAAAACAATCAAGTGTATGACATTGGATTTTGAGAAATAACTCATTCGATACATATACCATCTGTGATATCAGTAGAATGACAAATTTCAATCCAAAGACAACCATGGTCAGTAAAATAACGACTGATGACGCTAAAAGATAATGTCCACATCCATTCTTTCTTGATTCTTCATCTTGAAACGTTATCCAAGAGAGTACACTATTTGTAACGCCAAGTAAAATGATAATTATTGTTAAACACAAGCTAACCTTTACTACCAATATCTGAGACGTGAGATTAACAAACGGTTGAATGTGAAAACCAATAATTGCATCAAGCGATAAACCAAATAAATGTGAACTAAATTGACATCGTGTTCCATGATAACAGTCGGGACAAACACAGATTGTTGATTTGGGACATATCGATGAATCTTGTACACATCGGGCATTATTTTCACAAATACTATACCCATAGCAGTCATACTGCAATGTGCTTTTGAACGGGAAACAATTTGCCAAACGTTGGTACGCAGAACTATAGCAAAAACAAAAGTAATCTTGATCGTAAAAGCATTGCAAATGTGGGGCATATTTTTCGCATGGGATTTGATAATATTTCATTCGACGAAGAAGGTGATAGTGAACAATGTGTTCATCCAATACTTCACTAAGACGTTTACAACGATCCGATGAGCGAATCTGTCGACGAATAATCGCCGTTTTATTGTACTGATTTTGAATCAATACTAAATAGAAATTGTTCCATAACTGAGCGAATGAAATATGATATTCGTTAGACCAATAAATACTTGTTGCCGATTGGTAGGGGACTATTGCTTGTACAGCTGAACCATTCGTCACCACTCCACGTTCATGTGAAGATACAAAAATAAAGTGAACGATCATCGACTGTGGTAAATCAATACCTTTGTCAAATGATAAAATCAATTGATTAACGCGATTTTCACATCTTTTCCCTCCGTATCCGTTCGGGCAAATACAAATGATTTGATCATCGACAGGTAGTTTTACATCATCAGTGATGCACTGACCGCCGTTCAGACAAACGCTGCTCTGCTTATCCGATTGGCAGATATTATTTTCAAGTAAACATCGATTACCCCATCGATTCATCGGACAAATACAGATCGATTGGTTGCTGCGAGAAACACCGGCACAAATGGAATCCGATGAACATTGACAAACGTGAAATGTGTTACAAAATTTACCATACCATCCCTGCTCACAATGACAAAATGCCCGAATTGCCTTATTATTCATATATTCGACACATTGTCCATGTACACATGAGTCAATGAAACAGTTCTTCACTATTTGTTGTTTCGATAAGATATCCATCTGCACCGCAATACGATTCACAGGCAGAAATGAGAACGGAATGGGTAGAAAGAAACTTCCGCGGTACTCTAAAGAAGATTTTTCATAAACATCAATGTGAATTGCATAATTTTTGTGCAAATCTTTCGGACGAGTTGGATAGAGCAAATACACATTATACTTAATTGAACAATGTCTCGAGTAAAGATACGTATGTTGTTCAAAGGATTCAATTCGTCGTTCATTATCATCGATATCAATCAGTGAGAAAAGAATGAGAAATGGAGTACGTCGAGAATCACTAAAAGCTCGAAATCGAACAGTCAAACTCACACGTTGGTTTTGGTATTGACATGATGAACCGTAATAACTGGGTGGGCAAAGGCAAGCTTCTCTCGATAAATTACTTTTATGATCCAGCCAAATACGTAACGGTAGACCACGATGACATCGTTGATCATAAACAATTGGAATAAAATCGACCGTGTCAGCTAGACCCTCGATAGTTGTACTTTCACTTTGTTGTATTGCCAGTTCTTTCGGAAATCGCATGCTGTCCGACAAGTCAAAGTTAAATTTTGAAGGTTTATAAGAAAAACGACTGCAGAAAAACGTATTAATCACAGAAGGACTCTCATGACCACAACTACTGATGAAGCTGTTGTCAGAGATCCAATACGTTTCCTTACATAATGGCTCTTCATCTTTATACGTGCATTGCTCATAGTTCGAGCACCAGCTGTTCGTTATACATGTTGGATTCGAATTATTCTTACAATAGAAATAGTGCGTATTAAGTCTTTGGCCGTCTCGTTGACACAATGCTGGTTCATCCGTGGCACCAAGGCAATCGATAACTCCGTCATTGGCTCTTTTAAATGGTAAACACGTTAATTTGTATGTTGTAGGTGAAATGCATAGATGATGATAATGTGAACATTCATAAGAAAAATTTCCATAGCAATGAGCTTCATCAGCTCCATTCGCACAATTCCATATACCGTCACATTCAGTATAGTGATTATGACATTGCCAATGCGTACATTCAGTTTCATCTGTGTGATTTTCATTATCGATAAGAATAAGATCCAAATCCATCGTGCCATCGCACATTTGTACAAATTCGATAGGACTTTTGTAACCATGTGATCCTATCTCACATTGTATAACTAAACCACTTTCATCCTGATAGGTGTTATCGTTAACAAGTTCCTTTGAAATACATTTGTTATTTGCCATACATTTGAATAGCATCGGAGAATCAGATAAAGAACAATTTCCATTGACCAATGAACATTTTTCATCATCTTTATAGTCACAATCAAACCAGTTATCACAGAGCTGACGATGTGAAATGCATTTTGATGAATTCTTGCATTTGTACATCGTCGAATGATTACAAACTGAAGAGTCATTAGAAAGAATAGTATTACAATGATATAACTGTGTACTTAGATGCCACATATATGAGTGTACGGGTACATTTTCATCGAATAAAAGAGGAAAATCTTCCGGACGACGGCATGTGCTACCATTAAATGACAATAATGTTCTATTCGGATAAAATCCACCGCAAAGTCGATCGTCATAGCAAATGTAATGAGGCATAATGTTATTCGTTGAATTTAAAATAATTTTTCGTTCGTAAGCAAAATAAATATGGCCGAAGAGCAAGAGCATGGTGTCGATGAATAATAAATCGGGACATGCTTTATTTATTAATTCAATTGATTCAACATTAGAATTAATATCTCTACAAATAGAATTGAATTCATTGAATATTCGAAGATGACATCTTATTAGTGACCAGCAATCGGCTGTCATTGAGGTCGGTGATTCGAGAAACTTCATTTTTGCTAATAATCCTTCACGATTGACTGTACATGAGCTCGTAGAACCTGGTTCAATTGCAAAAAAGCCTCTAAAACACTTGTTATCTTCTTCATAGAACGAAGGTTCTCTGGTAAAAAGATGAAATTCCATTTCTGGAGTATCCTTCGGCAAATCCGACTTATCGAGACAATCAAAAATGTATTGATTATCTCCAAAAAACTCCATTGGGATACATTGTCCGTCTCTGCATCGGTACTCATTCTCCTGACATTCACTCATTTTCATCTCCGAACAATATTTTTCATCAATTTGATCATTTGAACAATCGACGGTTCCATCACATATATCAGTCCAATCGAGGCATCGTGTTGTCGAGCGAAGATCACATTCTAAGTCAATATAACACGTTAACGTTTCAGGAGCATATTTTTTCATATAGAATCTATGAACTATTTCAGTCAATGATGTGTAGTTCAAATCGGGAAGATCAAATGAATATCGACATTGTGGACCGAATCTGGGCAAAGTGCAATTATAAAAGACTTCATTGCCCATTGACAATAGCCGTTGATTTAAATAGATCTGATAACGTTCGATCGTGTCAATGGGTGCTGACCATACATACAACTCTTTCCAAGTGACACCACGATGATAAAGTTCAGCAAATGTTACGCCTTGATCGAATTTTTTTTATGTCATATTCGATTGTGATGACGACACTGTCAAACAGTACGCAATAATTTGTCTTATATCGAATGAGGATTCTATTATTGACGCGATAAACAGACAATCATGTTGAAGTCCGTTATGATTTTCTGTCACATGTTTCCTGTCGGTACGATCGAGATTGATCTGTGGCCAGCCGAAAATCGAATGGACGAGAATCGAATAGAACAAACTTTTGACACCAAATATCATTACGCTCGCTAAGATTTTCAATGAACATAGGAGAGCAATTGACTTCACGAGGAGAGAAATTTCGGTAGCTTAAGCAATGACGATTGTAAAGAAAAAACGAGAAAGAAAAGCAAACTCATAATATGCTCGCATACGTCGTTGAAGACTTTTATCAACTGCTTAGCATATATTTCACTTGTCTCATTGGCCAGAAGCTGTTAAATAATCTATCTGTCACAATCGCATGAACGTCATAGAGCTTATATGAATTTGAATTGTTTCAACACAGTTTTGAGTAGAAGACATAAATCATAGTCAGAGATATCTCTAAATTGCTTCCAGGCAAAAAGCAATCCAATAAAAAAGGAGCCGTGCTTTGATAGAACTGTTTTCACAATTGAATTTGGTGCAGATTAAAACACAAGTACAATTAAGACAAATCATTGGGAAATCTCTCGAAAAGTCACATATGTCACATATTCGATTTCGAAAATAACTGAACATGGTACCAAAAAATTTATTTCATATGAATAGTTTCAGAATTATTTCTCTTTGTGAGAATACGTATTTTCATTTGACATCAATCAAAATGCGATATTTACCAACTTTTCTTCTTGATGTATTCAATATTAATATAGCATGGCGTATGAGATCAAGCATATTTTTACGTCACTCAGAGTATGACTTTTTTGTTAGAAAGATTTTCAACACAAGCGTTTGAAATAACAATAATGGAAGGTGGCACATATGACCAATCACAAAATTGATCCGATCTTTTCGTATCGGAATGTATTCTGAAATGACTATCATCTCCTTGCCATTCCAATTTGAAAGCAAGAATCGTTTTGTGGTAAATGAACTACTATTCAAGTTTGTTTAATAGAAATATGCTTCTTTAGAATTTATAAAAAAATAAAGTAATTAGAAATTTTCAAAATGTACACTAGTTAAAAACATCTGATGTCACTTAACACGTGTATAAATTAGTTCTAAACTATGTATATTAGCAACAGCTTGTTATTATCCTAGAAATTCTTCGTCACGGATGATAGAATAGCATATAAATCAGCGAGCTCAACCATTCTCACATACATTCAGATATCGCATCAGCGTTCTTTCAAACAAGTCATTGCTGATTTCCAAACTCTCGTTGGTTCTGTTGATGATGGTGTTTTTCAACAATTACTAACAGCAGTCAGAGACGATGAAGATTTCAAAATGCGCCTGAAAGACTACGAAGGAAAGAGTGGTTTCATGCAGACTTTTTTGATAGATCATGGAGCATGGCTACCCCATATGGATGTCATTGGAAAGAAAGCACGAATGTATACAATTGGAAATCCATTAATAGCGGAAACAATGCTCAAATATGATATACGTGTCGGACTCAATATACAAACACACGACAGACAATACCGTCCGAATAACTTATGATCTACCTTCATCATTGATGTATTGTCTCAACAATGTAAACATCATTGCCGCTGCCAAAAAGCTCTATGCTAAAGTCGAAGATTTATGTAGACGGATAGCGAACATAAGTGCATAGCATAGATTGAAGCTTAATTCTTAATGATATTAATTACTCTACATCTTGTGTGAGAATCGGAAACCGTAGTAGTACTTATCGCTCTCTATTAATCCAGCTATATTATGTTTTATATTAAAGGAGGCAAATGTCAATGAAAGAATAATATTAATAAAGTTCATATCTGCATCTCCGTTCACCCGATTGATATTTTCTTAATAAATTCTTTCCTGTACATCTCTAATGTTCTTCAAACATATTGCTATTCTTACAACAGCCTTGAAAATGAAAATGATGCGAGCGAAGTTACGTATGGTCTTTGAACGTAGAGTGATGTCCAGCATTTCTCAGCTGTTCGGATTCTCAATAACTCTTGCAGAAGAATTTCAACAAATGGTAGATCTAACGAAACGAGATAATCTAGTTTTCTTTTGCAATATCCATCGTGTATATAGAGAATGACAGGTGAAATATAACTTTTCTACGTGCTATTTCACCATGGACGTCTATTTAACATGGCATGTAAAGCAAAAATCAACACCACTCTTATTGGATTTTCCTCTGAAAACAAGATGCACTTGTGATAATCGTGCAAGTGCAAAACTATTCGAAGTTGACAATAAGAGTAGCATCTACTTCTGATTAACTGAATCAATTCAGTCATCGCATAAATGAAGGATTTCAAAGCTGGATTCCGTAGGCTGTACAACCAAATATATGCCTACAATCTCTATTCACCTGAAGAAGAGGAATATAGCAACGAGGACAACAGTCATCAAACAATTTCTCAGAAACAGCAAAAATACACAACGTGGCTGTACATCGTTTTTCTATTCGGTAAGTCTTCAAATCTTTGCTTGTTTTCAGATATGTTCACTACATTTCAGTCTCTCTCTATGTTCTATTTTATATGGCTTTGATAAAACCACAAGAAGAACCCGTTGTTGTCCTTGGGATAACTCCAACCATCTTCAAAAATCTGAATAATAAATATCGCGACACTCTCTCTTGCCCATGTTCAACAATTACAATGCGATATGATGCTATTCTTTCTCATAACATCGAATTTCATCCCATCTGTTCGAGCATTTTCATTAGTCGAGAATGGATTGAAGCATTGTATTTGACCAATGCTAGCCGATACCCTATGGCAGATTTTCGTAAAACTGCCAGTCGTCAGGTATAAGTCACAAGGGTAACAAAAGAAATTCTATTGTTTGTCTATTTAGTTTCACCTTTTGTCCAGTATGTGCTCGCTTTCTACGGATGCGATTCTAAAAGTGAAGACAGATGTTGATAGCAAGGAGCTTATCAGTAAATATATTCAGACTGAAATGCAGGTTGCATCTGAAGTAAATGCAGTGGTTGATTCATTGAGAAACAGCGTTTCTCTTCAATTGGTTTCATTTCTCAACTATCTACATATGACTGATGTCGGCAATTATCTAATCTCAGCTTTGAATACAAACGCAGTTTTTAAATTTCTAGTTGAATCTAATCGCATTGGGACTGCGGCAGAAGGAATGAATTACTGTGTTGAGACGAATAATGGAGCAGGTGCGGAAATATGTTAATAATAACACTTATCTTTCTACATCTTGTAGATTGCAACATGTGTGGCAGTGTGAATCACGCTAGCGCAGCAACTTTTGTTCCATCATTCCACTATAACAAGTCTTATCTTTACTCTTCTTGGACAGATCCTCTTTCAGATTCAATGTTCGTCGATGGTTTCTTTATCGCATGTACTCCTTTTCAAGCAATTCTTCGTAGCACATTAGATTGCTTATACAATGGCAAATGTATTGATTTATTAACGAAATATTTTCCCAAACTTTCACAAGTAATATCTTGTTCTATATCATTTGAAGAAGGTGTATCTTTTTCAAACTAGACATCTCGCAATTGGAACGATCATATTCTTACATCAAAACAAGCGAATCTTTCTGTCATTGATCATTTGAATAATCTGTTTGTAGAAAACTGGAACAAACAATTGAACTATTCACAATATTTTGCTAAATGTAATCCTGCATCTTGTTCGTACACAACAACAAATCGGGGAAATGTATATCATGCAATCACGCTTTTGATTAGTCTTTACGGTGGCCTAATTATCGTACTTCGCACGGCGGCTCACTTATTTACCCATAATGTATTTAAATTCTATAACTGGTGTTCAAGAAGTACCATACGTTTTTCCTACAAAATACAGCTGCGAACACCTATTCGATTAATTCAACAGCTAAACCTATTTTCAACGATCAATCAAAGAACAGAAGAAGACATCAGACGACAAAAAATTATCACACGTACTTATCTCACTTTACTCTGCGGTAAAATTCCTTCTAATAAAATTAGAAATCAGCTATACGTATTTACTTTCGTTCTAGTCGCATTACTTGTTCTTGTCCTTTTCAATTCATTGGCTATGCAAACATTTACCGTAACTGTCAAAAATCCATCACTAGACATGTACATCAACTTGCAGGGTTTCCATTCCGATACACTCAAATGTCCATGCTCGACGTTGCAAATTCCTTATAAAAGGTTCGTCACATTGAGGCCCACTCTACATCAGATATGTTCGAGTAATTTTGTTGATTCTCGTTGGCTGGTCATATTATCAACAATCGAAATAACTGTCGATCTAACCGATTGGCGTGGTCGTGCTCGGTCACAATTTCAACTACTGCAAAATATTTGCCAATTTGCTAACACGACGATTCAAGACATGATGCAACGTTTTATGTTACAACTGTTTGTAACGTCAGATCTGTTGATCGAAAGCGACTTCATAGTTAAGATGGAAAAAAATTTCGAACAATTCTTTTCATTGAACAATTCGTATTTCAACCTTTTGATTGAAACCTCAAATCTTCTTACCCAGGTCGATCAACCATATAGAGTCACAGACAAAAAGCGCCAACTGTCTATAAGTCCAGCGTTAATCGTGAGCATGACAACAAATAAGCAAGTAATTAACGTATGTATTGACTCATTCATTGACACTTTGTGATTTGTCTTCGTTTGATAATTAGATCACACTTCCATTAGTTGGAACGTATGACGTAGAATCAAACGAAATGAATTGTATTTGTATGACAAATCCTCACTGTCAAAGTCCAATAGTTATCCGCGACTTTGGTAATGACTTAGGATTTGAATACACTTTTGATGCTGTTTACTTTATGCCGGGATGGGTCGGACGATGTTCAGCTATAGAATCTCTTCTATTCTCGACACTGGAATGCTTTTATTCCGATTCAGATTGCTATTATTTGCTGATGCGTTATGTTGAATACAAGTACGACCGAAACGATAATGACGTATCGAACTTCTATACTCGTCCTCTCGTTTATCATCCAACGCTGACTCGTTTTCCACCGAATACTCGAATTACAACACTCGTCGAAAATCTTATGATCGAACACTGGAATCGAACATTTTCATATAAAAACTATTATGAAAGTTGTGCGCCGATGGTCTGTACATATTCGAAGAAAACTCGTGCAAAAAATGCCTTGGAAGTCATCTTAACATTATTTTCAGTCATCGGAGGTCTCAATTTATCACTACGTTTTATCACACCATATCTTATTAGTTTCATCTTACATCTGTTTCGACTAGTTTGTCGAAAACCAACACAAGTAGAAGTTCAAGTTCGTGTAACTTGCTGCAGTAGAATGAGACAGATATTTAAACGTGTATACCCCGAATTAATCAATTTAAACATATTTTGTAAGCGTGATTTTGGTCGCAGTATTAATCAAGAAATCGCTAAACGTCTCGGACGATGGGCTACGCAAATCTATATCCTTCTACTCATCTTCGGTTTCGTGATTCTCGTTCTATATACTGTTATTAAACCTGTATCTATAACAAAAAATTTCCCAACTCCATCTTTGGATACATACGATGAACTCAGATCGGTTTATGGTGATCAACTGCAATGTTCGTGTTCATTTGTTTCCTTAGTTCATCGACAATTCATCGAAGTTCAACCGAAGTTTCACCAGATTTGCTCAAGTGTGTTTGTTTCAGATGAATTTCGAAAGAGTTTAGTATCTGGACTCGGACCAAATCTGTTCGTTTATGAGCGTAAAGACTATCGTCGTTTTATTTTCGCTCATATGCATTTTCTCTCTGGATTGTGTCACCTTTCGAGAAAATCAGTTAACAGCTCCATTGAACAGTTCCTCTCTTCATTAATGGTGACGACACACATGCTATCACGAGTAAGTTTCCGTCAACGTCTTAATTCACGCATACAACAACTAAAAAGCACGGCTCCGAACATACTTTCTCAAATTCTCTTCTTGATAAGGTTTACACATCTTGGAAATAGTATCGTATCAACCTATGGAACAAATTTTCACTACCTTCCCACCGAATGGAAACAAATGAATCAGGCTATCTACATTGCAAGCGAATCTTTAATCTATGATAATCAATGTTCCTGTGGATTGTCTTCTAATTGTACTAGTCAAGGTTATTTACAAGGTTTAAAAATTGGTTGCATACCGAGTGAATCGTTCCGTAGTTCCACTATTGAGTGTTTCTATAACTCATCATGTATTCAATACATTCAAGAATATACTAACTTTACGTTTTCGAAGACTTTATCGTCAACAGAGAGTCGTTTCTCAGTACAAGCGACAATTCATGAGCTAAGTGACAATTTATTTATCGAAGATTGGAACATAACAGTGAACTATTCATTGTATTACAGAGCGTGTTTGCCCTCACTATGCTCACACACATACACAAGACGAGTCAATCTTTTGTATTTCATAGCTCTGTTACTTGCCCTTCAAGGCGGATTATCAATTTTTCTTAAAATAGCGTGTCCATGGATTATTCGAATTGTTTTTAAAATCTATAAACGTTATCAAAGACGTAGAAATATGATTGAACCTGTTGAGTCTTCTCGAAGAACAACAACTGAAGTTATTCCATCGCCTCAATATTCTAAGAAGATCATTTGGATCTGTTTTCTACTTATAATTATCACCATATCTCTCATCGTTTTTTCTTTTTTCATTCTTTCTCAGAGTAATTTCATGTTACTGCGTCTCATTATTTCTTCATAAGAATTTCTTTTTTTCTTCTTAGGTTATACAACATCAACGGTGATCGTCAACATTATGAATACCACGCCAGCCATAGAAATAACAGTATCAACTCGCGCGAGTTAGTGAACTTCTTCTTTTTTCTATCGAAGTGCTTACTTGTTGAGTTTGGTATAGAATGTCTGTTGAAATTCCAACAAATATCAAAGTATCAAGGTAGTTTCTATGGACATATACAGTCGCACGTCATAGCGGATTTCGACTATAACGGGCATCTCGATTTCGCTTACTTTGACGACAATAGCCATAGCATCGTTGTACGACTCGGTGACGGTGCTGGATATTTTGAAGACGTAAAAGAATCTTTTGTAGAGGCAGACGAACTTGTAACAGGCATGATTGTTGCTGATTTGAATGATGATGATCAATTAGATCTTGTTTTATTGCATGATAATGTGGACCTGATAAGTATCTTCATTGGAACAGCTAATGGGACCTTCGAAAGATTAATAACATTGACCACGACACGTAGAACTTTTCCGGGATATGTTACTGTCGCCCACTTAAATAACGACGGTTATCTAGATATTGCCGTCGCCAATCCTCTAAATAGTAATATCGGCATATTCTTTGGAAGTGGCAATATGACTTTCTCTGCAGAAGCGCTAATTTCCACTGGTAGTGAGAGTTGGCCTATTTCATTAGCCGTTCTCTTCTACGACAAAGACAACTATCGAGATATTCTCATCCTCAATTCCGATACGCAATATGTCAGTCTATTGGTGGGAGATGGTATTGGCAATTTTCAACCACGAAAGCCATTTTTTGCAAAAGCTGGTCATCATCCATCGACCATGACAGTCGTCAACTTCGATAATGATACGCGACCCGATGTTGTCCTGACGCATGGCCGCACAAACAAGATAACGATTATGTCTGAACATGGTAATCGAATTTTGGGCATAGCAAAAAACTATTTTGTTCAAGGTGGTGACAGAGTTTCTTCGATTGCCATAACTGACTTTGATAACGATGGATATTTAGACATTGGAGTCGGTCAAAGCGCACCTTTTGGTGTATCAATTTTGTTTGGTCAACCAGATGGAAATTTTCATAAGCAACAAACAGTATTTTCGTCCGAAATTACGACTGCATTTGCCTTGATCGTCACCAGCGATCTTGATAATGATGGATATCCAGACATCATTGTCACAGAAGAGAAATCTGGAACTATGAACATTCTTTTAAATAAATGCAACTAAAACATTTTAAATGTGCATACCTGCCTTATTCGAATTCATACTCTCCGAATGGATCGTTCGTATCGATGATGATGCAAAAGAATTATTTCCGATTGAGGTGAACATGAGAAAATTTGTAATTATGATTATAATTCCAGATACGTTGTTTCGCGTGTACAAACTTGTTTTTTTCATCATAGTTTTTCTTGAACAACAAAAATTTTATAGAATAATTATAGTCGACTTGGCGACTGATCTACTTCAGACCGAAGCAGTGCGTTTTACTTATTTTGCCCTACAATAGCTATTTACTTGAGAACATTTTGACATATGAGAAGTTTTTCTACTTCTTTTTTGTTTCTTGTCATGATTATTTTAGTTCATGCCTTGCACTTTTTATTAGCGATTAATTCTAGAGTGAATTCGTTTCAACAAAAAATGGACTAGAAAAATAGATAAGATGATAGCCAGCATTGATGTTGTAACCACCACAGATGAAAAATTCGTCTGTTGTCTTGTAAACGTTGCCGACTGATCTAAATGAAAAGAGAACACGAGAAGATCATTTTCGCTAATTTTATTCAATCGTATTCTCAAACATGACAGACTCTACCTCGAACAACTGGTATAATAATTCGAATGATACCATCTTGAAAACTGAATTTTCTTCGTTGAAAGTCGAACGTTCTTTCATCATCTAGCTTGGCAACAGGCACTTGAAGTTCGAACTTGCCAATACGTCTTGTGTTCAAATAATCTNTGACTTCGCATGCTTTTCATAAGTAGATGAGATCCCTTTGAATATCCATTCATTGATGTTGGCCAAATACTAGCAGGCTTACTGAGCAATTCATTTCCTGCTGTATAACCCCAACTACCAATACCGATGCAAGGAACATCAAGTCCGTGTTTTTCGTTCTTATAACGATAGTTATTCAGAGCCTCACCGACTTCTTTCACAACACCTGCATTTGTACCAGCAGTAATTAGCCATGCCTCTATGAATAGTCGAAAGTAGATCATTTTTGGATAGTCACAAGTATTTTACTGGTGGTAACAGCAGCAGCGACTAAACCACGTTGAAATACTTTCTTTAGTCGAGCAGACATTTCGAAACTTTTTGCACCACCAGTGACAGATATAATCAAGTCAGGATTGGGTAAAGCCCATCCATCCTTCATAAATTTGACGACTGTTTCAGCACTTGTATTCAAACTCAATCGAATGTATTCTGAAAGACGCGTAGATGAATCCAATTCATTCTCATCGAATTTGAGAAAACCAAAATCCGTAGTTAATTCGTTTGAACTACATCGCAAAACCCAAGCTCTTTTTCATTCATAAATTTTGTCAACTTACGCATCTTGCTGACAAATTGCCAATGAATTAATTTTCTAAACAAAGAAAATTTATGACTACTAACCTTTCAAATATTTTTATTACCTTTTGAACGTTGCGCATTTGCTCAGCAATTTCTCCAGCCATTTCTTATATGAATACCACGTTCAAATTCTGAAAAAAAAGGAAGAATCTGTTTACTATATATAAAATAGATTGCAACAGAAGAATGATGTTACGCTGACATTATTTCAGTTGCACAAGCAAAAGACTTATTCATGCGAGAATTTGAAGGAAAGGAAAAAGTACATTGTTGTTTGTTGCCATGGGTTTATTTACTTTCCTCTCCTATTCGTAATGAGGAGAAACGAGTCGATAGCAAGAGATGATTGTCGATTCGTCCAACCATGACACATTCACATGCCGATTGTTGACGAAGGAGAAATAAGCTGAAGTAACAGCATTAATCCAACAAAATGACGTTTTAAGTGTTTTCGCTTCACCTATCGTACTTTTAGAGGTCTGGGAACACAAAGAAGTATACGTGTGTTTAAACATAAACTCGTCATTTGTTCGACAAACATTCCAAGAAACAAATCTTGTCACGTAAAGCTGATAGAATGATGATTATTCACCACATTTTACTTGCAACAAAATAACTTTTTCTAAAAAATCAATAAATACGCGTTCAATGTTTGCCGTGATCTCAACTAAAATTCTTGCCGTCGTGCCTCTAAGTGTTATTTCGCATGGAACCACTTTAGAAGAAACCAGCATCGTTGTATTCAAATACAGAAAACATTCAGATCTTTATTGTTATTTTTTAGATGCAAAAAAATGAGAATAGACTACATTATGATTTGTATAGGAATGTGTTAATTGTTGCTTGGAATTGTTCGATGAATGCTAATAATTGAAGTAAGTCAATGGATCATCTAAACAATCACAATAGAAATACGTTTTTGAATTTTATTTACATGAATACCTTCTGTGAATACACATGTTGCAACATCATGCTTGAATGTTTCATGCAAAGAATAAAAATCGTATTTATCATGATGTGCTTGTCGATGAACTCGAATATGAATAAAGAGTCCATCGCCAATAAATACCTTCATGAAATAGTTGATGCCATAAGCAGCCACTTCTTCGGCATATTTTGTTACTCTAGGAGTTTCTTTTATGATTGTCATTTTCAGACAGAAAATGTAAGAAAACTCACTTCCAAGCAGCAATATGTTTTTCACGATGTTCTTCAGTGAAATGATGCACTTGATTTTCGCGGTGTTTTTCATGTAGAGCATGGATTGCTGCATGTTTTATTTCAGGCCGTTCGCTATCGAAAATCAAATAAAATCATCGATTATAACTGTATGAGTTATGTACCTTAATTCTTGAATTTCAGGTGTGGCATCCTGAAAGAAGAAATATCATCATGAACATCGTTTAAAGTGAAGTTCTTTGTATGAACAAACCATGACAGGACCCATGCTATTTTGATGCTCGTCAGACATAATTGAAACTTGTCGAAATAACAAAATTTATGGATTTTTTATGTGTGTAATGTCAGTGAGCTGTCGCGTGTTCGTAGCCAAGAAAGACAGTAAGAAAAATATTCTCTATAGTTTAAAATGCTTTTTTTTCATTCTTTTCCTTTCCTATCTTTGTCAATACTCGAAGTGAGAAGAAGAAAGAAATATTTTCTTTTCTTTTTTTCTTGCGCATGTCGCTGCTTGAGTGCCCGGAAAACAATGGCATGTTAAGAACAAAATACTTCGTAAAATCGAGAATGATGGGAGTATACATTTTCCACGCACTGCTTATACAGTCAATGTCCATAGAAGAGAAAAAACATGCTACCGATCCATTATAGACGAAAGATATGAAAGATGACCGACACACTCTTGTTTCTGCTCTTGATGGATAGGAGCACAGAAAACAACAATATATTTTATTTTGACAAAAGACCTTGCATCGATTCATATAATGAAAACATTAGTCACTGAATATCATCTAACTGTACATTTCTCTACTAAATCGCAGTTATGTACGCGGGCCGAAGTAGAAACGATTCTCTAGCTTCGCGCTAATTTAAGTCACGAGTGAATGAAAAACATCATCCAAGATTAAGAGAAGTTCAACGTAAACAACTGGATATACTGGGCTTCGGCAACTCTTTTAGTATTAAAGGAAAATTTTAGCACAATTGGCTACTTGTATATAGTGCTAATTATTAAAATAGCCTGTACAACCAGAAAATCTTCTCAGCCCAGTCAACATAAATATAGAGAACACTAAAACAGATATTAGGTTTAGTTTTGAAGATATATTATATTAATAGAGATTCATTTCTGATCATCTTCTTTTTCGGAGAGAACTTCATCCATAGTAATTCCTTCTCAAATGTTCTGCTAATAATTCGATCGAATCTTTGATGATGTCCTAAGCCAGAGAGATCGCTAAATTGTTTTCAATTTATTTCTGGAGCGAACAATGAAGTACGTACATAGAAGCAGGTAAACAAGCAAGGAGTCAGAATGTAAATTTATAGGATTCTTCTCTAGAAGAAAGGAAATACTCAGAGAAATTCATTTTTGAGTACGTGTTAATTCTGCGTAAATGGCATTCTCGATGCGATTGCATTCTGAATTGTTTTCATGGACTTACTGAATTGTTTTTTGTAGTGCTTCGATGGTAAGATGAATAAAATCGATGTCAACATCGGAGGAATAAATGAGATAAAATAACCCATCAGTGGTAACCAAGCATCAGTTGTTGATTTCATACAATTGGAGGCAAATGAAAGAATTAAGCGTGGTAACGCCAAACTGATGAGAATGATCGGAGCAATGAGAAGATGTCTGTGTTCTTGAAATTGTACTAAGAGTAATTTTCGGTAGGACAGATTAGTGCGAACGATGGTACGCTGTTTTGCGGTCATACTAATAATGAGCAAAGCGGAAATTAGATTAAGTACAAATGGAAAGAGAAAATGAATTAGATTTATAATAGAGTTATACGTTTGGATCTTTGCTGGATAATTCACAATGCACCAAATTCGTTTTCCCATCTCGTTGTCGTCTTCATTGTTATCATGGATCAAACGTCGATGAATCGGATCATGAGTGTTTGTTATTCCAGTCCAAACGAATAGAAGAATTATAGCGTATTTGGCTACTCGTTTACTTTTCTTCTGATTGAATCTAACACCCTTGCGAACAGTAATTAATCGTTCTACAGCAACACACGCATTCATATACTGATCCATAGTTAGACCTATTCGGATAAAACAATCAAGTGTATGACATTGGATTTTGAGAAATAACTCATTCGATACATATGCCATCTGTGATATCAGTAGAATGGCAAATTTCAATCCAAAGACAATCATAGTCAATAAAATAACGATTGATGACGCTAAAAGATAATGTCCACATCCATTCTTTCTTGATTCTTCATCTTGAAACGTTATCCAAGAAAGTACACTATTTGTAACGCCGAGTAAAATGATAATTATTGTTAAACACAAGCTAACCTTTACTACCAATGTCTGAGACGTGAGATTAACAAACGGTTGAATGTGAAAACCAATAATTGCATCAAGCGATAAACCAAATAAATGCGAACTAAATTGACATCGTGTTCCATGATAACAGTCGGGACAGACACAGATTGTTGATTTGGGACATTTCGATGAATCTTGTATACATCGGGCATTATTTTCACAAATACTATACCCATAGCAATCATACTGCAATGTGCTTTTAAACGGGAAACAATTTGCTAAACGTTGGTACGCAGAACTATAACAAAAACAAAAATAATCTTGATCGTAAAAGCATTGCAAATGTGGGGCATATTTTTCGCATGGGATTTGATAATATTTCATTCGACGAAGAAGGTGATAGTGAACAATGTGTTCATCCAATACTTCACTAAGATGTTTACAGCGATCCAATGAACGAATCTGTCGACGGACAATTGCTGTTTTATTGTACTGCTTTTGAATCAGTATTAAATAGAAATTGTTCCATAATTGAGCGAATGAAATATGATATTCGTTAGACCAATAAACAATTGTTGCCGATTGGTAAGGGACTATTGCTTGTACAGCTGAACCATTCGTCACCACTCCACGTCCATATGAAGATACAAAAATAAAGTGAACGATCATCGACTGTGGTAAATCAATACCTTTGTCAAATGATAAAATCAATTGGTTAACACGATTTTCACATCTTTTCCCCCCGTATCCGTTCCGGCAAATGCAAATGATTTGATCATCAACAGGTAATTTTACATCATCAGTGATGCACTGACCGCCGTTGAGACAAATGCTACTCTGCTTATCTGATTGACAGATATTATTTTCAAGTAAACATCGATTACCCCATCGATTCATCGGACAAATACAGATCGATTGGTTGCTGCGAGAAACACCGGCACAAATGGAATCCGATGAACATTGACAAACGTGAAATGTGTTACAAAATTTACCATACCATCCCTGCTCACAATGACAAAATGCCCGAATTGCCTTATTATTCATATATTCGACACATTGTCCATGTACACATGAGTCAATGAAACAGTTCTTCACTATTTGATGTTTCGATAAGATATCCATCTGCGCCGCAATACGATTCACAGGCAGAAATGAGAATGGAATGGGTAGAAAGAAACTTCCGCGGTACTCTAAAGAAGATTTTTCATAAACATCAATATGAATTGCATAATTTTTGTGCAAATCTTTCGGACGAGTTGGATAGAGCAAATACACATTATACTTAATTGAACAATGTCTCGAGTAAAGATACGTATGCTGTTCGAAGGATTCAATTCGTCGTTCATTGTCGTCGATATCAATCAGTGAGAAAAGAATGACAAATGGAGTACGTCGAGAATCACTAAAAACTCGAAATCGAACAGTCAAACTCACACGTTGGTTTTGGTATTGACATGATGAACCGTAATAACTAGGTGGACAAAGGCAAGCTTCTCTCGATAAATTACTTTTATGATCTAGCCAAATACGTAACGGTAGACCACGATGACATCGTTGATTATAATCAGAAACAATTGGAGTAAAATCGACCGTGTCAGCTTTAACCTCGATAGTCGTACTTTCACTTTGTTGTATTGCCAGTTCTTTTGGAAATCGCATGCTGTCCGACAAGTCAAAGCTAAGTTTTGAAGGTTTATAAGAAAAACGACTGCAAAAAAACGTATTAATCACAGAAGGACTTTCATGAGCACAACTACTGATGAAGCTGTTGTCAGAGACCCAATACGTTTCCTTACATAATGGCTCTTCATCTTTATACGTGCATTGCTCATAGTTCGAGCACCAGCTGCTCGTTATGCACGTTGGATTTGAATTATTTTTACAATAGAAATAGTGCGTATTAAGTCTTTGGCCGTCTCGTTGACACAATGCTGGTTCATCCGTGGCACCAAGGCAATCGATAACTCCGTCATTGGCTCTTTTAAATGGTAAACACGTTAATCTGTATGTTGTAGGCGAAATGCATATATGATGATAATGTGAACATTCATAAGAAAAATTTCCATAGCAATGAGCTTCATCAGCTCCATTTGCACAATTCCATATACCGTCACATTCAGTATAGTGATTATGACATTGCCAATGCGTACATTCAGTTTCATCTGTGTGATTTTCGTTATCGATAAGAATAGGCTCCAAATCTATCGTGCCATCACACATTCGTGCAAATTTGATAGGGCTTTTGTGACCATGTGATCCTATCTCACATTGTATAATTAAACCACTTTCATCCTGATAGGTGTTGCCGTTAACAAGTTCCTTTGAAACACATTTGTTATTTGCCATACATTTGAATAACATCGGAGAATCAGACAAAGAACAAGTTCCATTGACCAATGAACATTTTTCATCATCTTTATAGTCACAATCAAACCAGTTATTACAGAGCTGACGATGTGAAATGCATTTTGATGAATTCTTGCATTTGTACATCGTCGGATGATTACAAACTGAAGAGTCATTAGAAAGAATAGTATTACAATGGTATAACTGTGTAGTTAGATGCCACATATATGAGTGTACGGATACATCTTCATCGAATAAAAGAGGAAAATCTTCCGGACGACGGCATGTGCTACCATTAAATGACAATAATGTTCTATTTGGATAAAATCCATCGCAAAGTCGATCGTCATAGCAAATGTAATGAGGCATGACGTTATTCGTTGAATTTAAAATAATTTTTCGTTCATAGGCAAAATAAATATGGCCGAAGAGCAAAGGCATGGTGTCAATGAATAATAAATCGGGACATGCTCTATTTATTGATTCAATTGATTCAACATTAGAATTAATATCTCTACAAATTGAATCGAATTCAATGAATATTCGAAGATGACATCTTAGTAGTGACCAGCAATCGGCTGTCATTGAGGTTGGTGATTCGAGAAACTTCATCTTTGCTAGTAATTCTTCACGATTGGCTGTACATGAGCTCGTAGAACCTGTTTCAATTACAAAAAAGCCTCTAAAACACTTGTTATCTTCTTCATAGAACGAAGGTTCTCTGGTAGAAAGATGAAATTCCATTTCTGGAGTATCCTTCGGCAAATCCGACTTATCGAGACAATCGAAAATGTATTGATTATCTCCAAAAAACTCCACTGGGATACATTGTCCATCTCTGCATCGGTATTCATTCTCCTTACATTCACTCATTTTCATTTGCGAACAGTATTTTTCATCAATTTGATTATTTAAACAATCGACGGTTCCATCACATATATTAGTCCAATCGAGGCATCGTGTTGTCGAGCGAAGATCACATTCTAAGTCAATATAACACGTTAACGTTTCGGGATCATATTTTTTCATATAGAATCTATGAACTATTTCAGTCAATGATGTGTAGTTCAAATCGGGAAGATCGAATGAATATCGACATTGTGGACCGAATCTGGGCAAAGTGCAATTATAAAAGACTTCATTGCCCATTGATAATAGCCGTTGATTTAAATAGATCTGATAACGTTCAATCGTATCAATGGGTGCTGACCATACATACAACTCTTTCCAAGTGACACCACGATGATAAAGTTCAGCAAATGTTACGTTTTGATCGAATGTATTCAATGTCATATTCGATTGTGAGGACGACACTGTTAAACAATACGCAATAATTTGTCGTGTATCGAATGCGGATTCGATTGTTGACGCGATAAACAGACAATCATGCTGAAGTCCGTTATGATTTTCTGTCACATGTTGCCAGTCGGTACGATCGAGATTGATCTGTGGCCACCCGAAAGTCGAATGGACGAAAATCAAATAGAACAAACTTTTGACATCAAATATCATTACGCTCGCTAAGATTTTCAATGAACATAGGAGAGAAATTTCGGTAGCTTAGCAATGATGATCATAAAGAAAAAGCGAGAAAGAAAAGTAAACTCACAATATGCTCGCATACGTCGTTGAAGACTTTTATCAACTGCTTAGCATATATTTCCCTTGTCTTATCGGTCGGAAGCTGTTAAATAATCTATCTGTCACAATCGCATGAACGTCATAGAGCTTATATGAGTTTGGATTGTTCCAACACAGTTTTGAGTAGAAGACATAAATCATAGTCAGAGATATTTCTAAATAGCTTCCAGGCAAAAAGCAATCTAATATAAAAAAGGAGCTGTGGTTTGATAGAGCTGTTTTCATAATTGAATTTTTTTCTCCTTCTTCTACTTGAATTTGGTGCAGATTAAAACACAAGTACGATTAAGAGAAATCACTCGAAAAGTTGCAAATGTCACATATTCGAATTCAAAAATAAATGAACATGGCACCAAAAAATTTATTTCTCTTTGTGAGAGTACGTATTTTCATTTGATATCGATCAAAATGCGATATGTACCAACTTTTCTTCTTGATGTATTTAATATTAATATAGCGTGGCGTATGAGATCAATCATATTTTTACGTCACTCAGAGTATGACTTTTTTGTTAGAGCGATTCTCAACACATGCGTTTGAAATAATAATAATGGAAGATGACGCATATGACCAATCACAAAATTGATCCGATCTTTTCGCATCGGAATCTATTCTGAAATGACTATCATCTCTGTGCCATTCCAATTTGAAAGCAAGAATCGTTTTGTGGTAAATGAGCTACTATTCAAGTTTGTTCAATACAAATGTGCTTCTTTAGAATTTTATAAAAAAAATGAAGTAACGACGTTTCACAAATCGTGTATGCCTATTCTTCAATCGTTTAGCATGCATATATTTCCCACGTAGAATTTCTTTCGAATGGAAATTTTCAAAATGTGCGTGAAAGACCATGAAGGAAAGAGTGGTTTCATGCAGTTTTTTTTATAGATCATGGAGTATGGCTACCCCATATGGGTGTCACTGAAAAGAAAGCACGAATGTATACAAGTGCAAATCCATTCATAGCGGAAAAAATGATCAAATATTATATATGTGTCGAACTCAACATACTTGTTCGTCTATCGATATACAAACACACGATAGACAACACCGTCCGAATAACTTATGATCTACCTTCGCCAAATAGCTCTATGCTAAACTCGAAGATTTATGTAGACGGACAGAGAACATAAGTGCAGCATAAATTGAAGCTTAATTCTTAATGATATCAATTACTCTACATCTTGTTTGAGAATCGGAAACCATAGTAGTACTTATCGCTCTCTATTAATCCAGCTATATTATGTTTTGTATTAAAGGAGGCAAATGTCAATGAAAGAATAATATTAATAAAGTTCATATCTGCATCTCCATTCACCCTATTGATATTTTCTTAATAAATTTTTTCCTTTACATCTCTAATGTTCTTCAAACATATTACTGTTCCTACTAAAAGTTTTGAAAATGAAAATGATGCGAGCGCAGTTACGTATGGCCTTTGAACGCAGAGTGATGTCCAGTATTTCTCAGCTGTTCGGATTCTCAATAACTCTTGCAGAAGAAATTCAACAAATGGTTGACCCAACGAAACGAGATAATCTAGCTTCCTTTTGCAATATCCATCGTGCATATAGAGAATGACAGGTGAAATACAACTTTTCTACGTGCTATTTCACCACGGGCGTCTATTTAACATGCCTTATAAAGCAGAAATCAACACTGCTCTTGTTGAGTTCTCGTCTGAAAACAAGATGCACTCGATAATCGTGTAAGTGGAAAGCTATTCGAAGTTGACAATAAGAGTAGCATCTACTTCTGATTAACTGAATCAATTCAGTCATTGTATAAATGAGGAATTTCAAAGCTGGATTCCGTTGGCTGTACAACCAAATATATGCCTATAATCTCTTTTCACCTGAAGAACAGGAGCATAGCAACGAGGACAACAGTAATCAAACAATTTCTGAGAAACAGCAAAAATACACGACATGGCTGTACATCGTTTTCCTATTCGGTAAGTCTTGAAATCTTTGCTTGTTTTCAGATATGTTCACTATATTTCAGTCTCTCTCTATGTTCTGTTTTATATGGCTTTGATAAAACCACAAGAAGAACCCGTTGTTGTCCTTGGGATAACTCCAACCATCTTCAAAAATCTGAATAATAAATATCGCGACACTCTCTCTTGCCCATGTTCAACAATTACAATGCGATATGATGCTATTCTTTCTCATAATATCGAATTTCATCCCATCTGTTCGAGCATTTTTATTAGTCGACAATGGATTGAAGCATTGTATTTAACCAATGCTAGCCGATACCCTATGGCAGATTTTCGTAAAACTGCCAGTCGTCAGGTATAAGTCTCAAGGATAACAAAAGAAGTTCTATTGTTTGTCTATTTAGTTTCACCTTTTATCCAGTCTGTGCTCGCTTTCTATGGATGCGATTCTAAAAGCGAAGACAGATGTTGATAGCAAGGAGCTTATCAGTAAATATATTCAGACTGAAATACAGGTTGCATCTGAAGTAAATGCAGTGGTTGATTCATTGAGAGACAGCGTTTCTCTTCAATTGGTTTCATTTCTCAACTATCTACATATGACTGATGTCGGCAATTATTTAATCTCAGCTTTGAATACGAACGCAGTTTTTAAATTTCTAGTTGAATCCAATCGCATTCGGACTGCGGCAGAAGGAATGAATTACTGTTTTGAGGCGAATAATGGAGCAGGTGCGGAAATATGTTAATAGTAACACTTATCTTTCTACATCTTTTAGGTTGCAACATGTGTGGCAGTGTGAATCACGCTAGCGCAGCAATTTTCGTGCCATCATTCCACTATAACGAGTCTCATCTTTACTCTTCTTGGACAGATCCTCTTTTAAGTTCAACGTTTGTCGATGGATTCTTTATCGCATGTACCCCTTTTCAAGCAATTCTTCGTAGCACATTAGATTGCTTATACAATGTCACATGTATTGATTTATTAACGGAATATTTTCCCAAACTTTCACAAGTAATATCTTGTTCTATATCATTTGAAGGAAGTGCATCTTTTTCAAACTAGATATCTCGCAACTGGAACGATCATATTCTCACATCAAAACAAGCGAATCGCTCTGTCGTTGATCATTTGAATAATCTGTTTGTAGAAAACTGGAACAAACAATTGAACTATTCACAATATTTTGCTAAATGTTCTCCTGCATCTTGTTCGTATACAACAACAAATCGAAGAAATGTATATCATGCAATCACGCTTTTGGTTAGTCTTTACGGTGGCCTGATTATCGTACTTCGTACGGCGGCTCACTTATTTACAAATATTGTATTCAAATTCTATAACTGGTGTTCAAGAAGTACCATACGTTTTTCCTACAAAATACATCTGCGAACACCTGTTCGATCATTTCAGCAACTAAACCTATTTTCAACAATCTATCAAAGAACAGAAGAGGACATCAAACGACAAAAAATTATCACACGTACTTATTTGACATTACTCTGCGGTAAAATTCCTTCTAATCAAATTAGAAATCAGCTATACGTATTTACTTTCGTTCTAGTCGCATTACTTGTTCTTATACTTTTCAATTCATTGGCTACTCAAACATTTACCATAACTGTCACAAATCCATCACTAGACATGTACACCAACCTGCGGGACTCCCATTCCGATACACTAAAATGTCCATGCTCGACGTTGCAAATTCCTTATAAAAGCTTCGTCACATTGAGTCCCACTTTACATCAGATATGTTCGAGTAATTTTGTTGATTCTCGTTGGCTGGTCATATTATCAACAATCGAAATAACTGTCGGTCTAACCGATTGGCGTGGTCGCGCCCGATCACAATTTCAACTACTGCAAAATATTTGCCAATTTGCTAACACGACGATTCAAGACATGACGCAACGCTTTATGTTACAACTGTTTGTAACATCGGATCTGTTGATCGAAAGCGACTTCATAGTTGAGATGGAAAAAAATTTCAAACAATTCTTTTCATTGAACAATTCATATTTCAACCTTTTGACTGAAACCTCAAATCTTCTTACCCAGGTAGATCAACCATATAGAGTCACAGACAAAAAGAACAAACTGTCTATAAGTCCAGCGCTAAGCGTGAGGAAGATAACAAATAAGCAAGTAATTAACGTATGTATCGACTCATTCATTGATACTTTGTGATTTATCTTCGTTTAATAATTAGATCACACTTCCATTAATTGGAACTTATGACGTAGAATCAAACGAAATGAATTGTATTTGTATGACAAATCCTCACTGTCAAAGTCCAGTAGTTATTCGCGACTTTGGTGATGACTTGGGATTTGAATACACATTTGATGCTGTTTACTTTATGCCGGGATGGGTCGGACGATGTTCAGCTATAGAATCTCTTCTATTCTCGACACTGGAATGCTTTTATTCTGATTCAGATTGCTATTATCTGCTGATGCGTTATGTTGAATACAAGTACGAACGAAATGATAATGAAGTATCGAATTTCTATACTCGCCCTCTCGTTTATCATCCAACGCTGACTCGTTTCCCACCGAACACTCGAATTACAACACTCGTCGAAAATCTTATGATCGAACATTGGAATCGAACATTTTCATATAAAAACTATTATGAAAGTTGTGCGCCGATGGTCTGTACATATTCGAAGAAAACTCGTGCAAGAAATGCCTTGGAAGTGATCTTAAAATTATTTTAAGTCATGGGAGGTCTCAATTTATCACTACGGTTTATCACACCTTATCTTATTAGTTTCATCTTATACCTGTTTCGACTAGTTTATCGAGAACCAACACAAGTAGAAGCTCAAGTTCGTGTAACTTGCTGCAGTAGAATGAGACAGATATTTAAACGTGTATACCTCGAATTAATCAATTTAAACATATTTTGTAAGCGTGATTTTGGTCACAGTATTAATCAAGAAATCGCTAAACGTCTCGGACGATGGGCTACGCGAATCTATATCCTTCTACTTATCTTCGGTTTTGTGATTCTCGCTGTATATACTGTTATTAAACCTGTATCTATAACAAAAACTTTCCCAAATCCATCTTTGGATACATACGATAAACTCAGATCGGTTTACGGTGATCAACTGCAATGTTCGTGTTCATTTGTTTCCTTAGTTCATCGACAGTTCATTGAAGTGCAACCGAAGTTTCACCAGATTTGCTCAAGTGTGTTTGTTTCAGATGAATTTCGAAAGAATTTAGTATCTGGACTCGGACCAAATCTGTTCGTTTATGAGCGTAAAGACTATCGCCGTTTTATTCTCGCTCATATGCATTTTCTCTCTGGATTGTGTCATCTTTCGAGAAAATCAGTTAACAGCTCCGTTGGACAATTCCTCTCTTCATTAATGGTGACGGCACGCATGCTATCACGAGTAAGTTTCCATCAACGTCTTAATTCACGCATACAACAACTAAAAAGCACGGCTCCAAACATACTTTCTCAAATTCTTTTCCTGATAAGATTTACACATCTTGGAAATAGTATCGTATCAACCTATGGAACAAATTTTCACTACCTTCCCACCGAATGGGAGCAAAAGAATAAGGTTATCTACATTGCAAGCGAATCTTTAATCTATGATAATCAATGTTCCTGTGGATTGTCTTCTAATTGTACCAGCCAAGGTTATTTGCAAGGTTTAAAAATTGGATGCATACCGAGTGAATCGTTCCGTAGTTCCACCATTGAGTGTTTCTATAACTCATCATGCCTTCAATATATTCAAGAATATACTAACTTTACATTTTCGAAGACTTTATCGTCAACAGAGAGTCGTTTCTCAGCACAAGCGACAATTCATGAGCTAAGTGACAATTTATTTATCGAAGACTGGAACATAACAGTGAACTATTCATTGTATTACAGAGCGTGTTTGCCCTCATTATGCTCATACACATATACAAGACGAGTCAATCTTTTGTATTTCATAGCTCTGTTACTTGCCCTTCAAGGTGGATTATCAATTGTTCTTAAAATAGCGTGTCCATGGATTATTCGAATTGTTTTTAAAATCTATAAACGTTATCAAAGACGTAGAAATAGGATTGAACCTATGGAGTCTTCTCGAAGAGCAACAACTGAAGTTATTCCATCACATCAATATTCTAAGAAAATCATTTGGATCTGTTTTCTCCTTATAATTATCACCATATCTCTCATTGTTTTTTCTTTTTTCATTCTGTCTCAGAGTAATTTCATGTTACTGCGTCTCATTATTTCTTCATATGAATTTGTTCTTTTCTTCTTAGGTTATACAACATCAACGGTGATCGTCAACATCATGAATACCACGTCAGTCATAGAAATTACAGTATCAACTCGCGCGAGTTAGTGAACTTCTTCTTTTTCCTATCGAAGTGCTTACTTGTTGAGTTTGGTATAGAATGTCTGTTGAAATTCCAACAAATATCAAAGTATCAAGGTAGTTTCTATGGACATCTACAGTCGCACGTCATGGCGGATTTCGACTACAACGGTCAACTCGATTTCGCTTACTTTGACGACGATAGCCATAGCATCGTCGTACGATTCGGTGACGGTGCTGGATATTTTGACGACGTAAGAGAATCTTTTGTACAGTTAGACGAAATTGTAACAGGCATGATTGCTGCTAATTTAAATGATGATGATCAATTAGATCTTGTTTTATTGCACGATAATGTGGACCTGATAAGTATCTTCATTGGAACAGCTAATGGGGCCTTCGAAAGATTAATAACATTGACCACGACACATCGAACTTTTCCGGTATATGTTACTGTCGCCCACCTAAATAACGACGGTTATCTAGATATTGCCGTCGCCAATCCTCTAAATAGTAATATTGGTATATTCTTTGGAAATGGCAATATGACTTTCTCTGCAGAAGAGCTAATTTCTACTGGTAGTGAGAGTTGGCCTGTTTCATTAGCCGTTCTCTTTTACGACAAAGACAACTACCGAGATATTCTTGTCCTCAATTCCGATACACAATATGTCAGTCTATTGGTGGGAGATGGTATTGGCAATTTCCAACCACGGAAGCCATTTTTTGCAAAAGCTGGTCAACATCCGTCGACGATGACGATTGTCAAGTTCGATAATGATACGCGACCTGATGTTGTCCTGACGCATGACCGCACAAACAAGATAACGATTATGTCTGAACATGGTAATCGAACTTTGGGCGCGGCAAAAAACTATTTTGTTCAAGGTGGTGACAGAATTTCTTCGATTGCCATAACTGACTTTGATAACGATGGATATTTAGACATTGGAGTCGGTCAAAGCGCACCTTTTGGTGTATCAATTTTGTTCGGTCAACCAGATGGAAATTTTCATAAGCAACAAACAGTATTTTCGTCCGAAATTACGACTGCATTTGCCTTGATTGTCGCCAGCGATCTTGATAATGACGGATACTCAGACATTATTGTCACAGAAGAGAAATCTGGAACTATGAACATTCTTTTAAATAAATGCAATTAAAACATTAAGAATGTGCATACCTGCCTTATCCGAATTCATACTCTCAAAATGGGTCGTTTGTATCGATGATGATGCAAAGGAATTATTTCCGATTGAGGTGAACATGAGAAAATTTTTTTAATTATGATTATAATTTCAGATACATTGTTTCACCTTTACAAACTTGTTTTCTTTCATCATCATTTCCCTTGAACAACATAATTTTATAGAATAATTATAATCGACTTGGCGACCGATCTATTTCAAACCGAAGCAGTGCGTTCTATTTATTTTGCCCTACAATAGCTACTTGCGGGAACATTTTGTTATATGAGAAGCTTTTCTACTTTGGTTTTTTTCCTTGTCATGATCTTTTTATTAGCGATTAATTCTAAAGTGAGCTCGTTTCAGCAAAAAATGGGCTAGAAAAATAGCTAAGATGATAGTCAGCATCGACGTTGTAACCACCGCAGATGAAAAATTTTTCTGTTGTCTTGTAAACGCTGCTGACTGATCTAAATGGAAAGAGAACACGAGAAGATCATTCTCGCTAATTTTATTCAATCGTATTCTCAAATATGACAGACTCTACCTCGAACAACTGGTATAATAATTCTAATGATACCATCTTGAAAACTGAATTTTCTTCGTTGAAAGTCGAACGTTCTTTCATCATCTAGCTTGGCAACAGGCACTTGAAGTTCGAACTTGCCAATACGTCTTGTGTTCAAATAATCTTTTTTCATTCGATTATTAAACTTTTCTCCTTGCACAAGTAGAGTAGTACCTCGTACAGTGAGTTGAATAGATGAGTTGGAACATGATGGACATTCGATTAATATTTCGATATCACCATCGTCATTTGTCTGTGCTATATGAACATCGGGTATGAACTGCGATGAATAATCAATATAAACAGAACCATCTTCATTGAACTTGAGATTTTTTGATAAAATAACATTATTCGGCAACGGTCTTTTGGGACAAATGAACCACAATGCTTCTGGCTGCAGTTCATCAATAGACAATTGCTGAAGTTCTAACTCAAGTTGGACTTGACGTTTCCGTGATATTTGTAACTTTGTTTGTTTATCCAAATCCGGCGTGATAGTATTAGTATTTGCATCCACTTTCGTCTCTACATTTTCATCATCACCATCATCAGTCGAATGATGCTCTTCTAAAAACTTCTTCAACAGCAGTTCTACTTCGTACATTATGTGTTCAAGTACATTGGTCACTTCTGCAGCATTGGACGCTTTGATCATGGTTAATAGCTGTTCAACAGTATGATCATTATAAAATAGTCCAGCTTCACTGTCACTATTTGCTAAAATAAAATGTTTAAAGTCTTTACTGAGCCAATGTCCTTCGTGTTGTTTCGCAGCACCAAATAATTCACCAAGTTCATATTGAGCAGTCTGTTCTACTTCTTCTATCGTTCGTAGATTGAAGTAATTATGCACAATTAATAGTCTTTGTTTGATTTCTCGGGCATTAATTTTCTTATCCTATAAATAACGAGATTCAATAATTAGAACTGATCTTTTTCCAGCAACAAAAGTTCTGAAGAAGAATGTGCTTATTACCTTGAGACGTTTATATAACATTTTTAAGTACAATTGATCGTCAAGGGTGAGTTGATTGATGACAAGAAGAAAAATCTCACTGGAATTCAGCGCAATTTCTTGAATGAATGCATCGCTAATCTGCCGTTCGTACGAAAGCATTGCGAAAGAATTTTGATCGTAATCGACGGGTGTTCTTGCTCCCGCAGTATCAATGAGAGCAATATTTGGATCGTGTGAATTTTTAGGTGTTGGTAACGAAACACTAATACCACTAGTCCGTTCGACGAATGAATGACCCAGATCTATATTTGCCAACAGTCGTAAAACATACGTTTTTCCGACATTGTATCGTCCAACTACATTGACCATAAATCGACTAAGCTTTCGTCCGTCTTGTTTCGTTTTGCTATCGTAAGCTGCTTTACCTAGAGGGAATGAAACGGGATATGCCTGAATCTTGCCATATATGTCTCCCGGTCTTGTCAAATCGACAACAAAATCATATGCAGTTCGTTGCTGATGTTGAATATCGCTTCCAAACGAACTATTACTTTTCGTCTTACTATGATGTCGTATTGGTCTAGCACTTGATTCAAGAAAAGCACCGAGTAATTTGTCGACAAGTGTTGGTGGCAGCTCTTTTACAAAGTCTAAAATGTTTCCATCCTTTCGAAAACTATCAATCATAATGGCAAGAGACTTCAAACTAGCTCCTGTAGAATTTCTTCCATCGGCTGCTAAGAGAATGCCAACGATGTTAAGTACAATATAAACAATGCAGTATACTCGCATTTATACGAATGGTATCTTGTTGCACAAGACTCTTCGTCTTTTACTGGTGACTTGATAAGAATCGACACTGTGTTTTTATCTAGTTAAACAATATGAAAATTCCAAACGTTCTCTTTATTTTGAAATCATGCTATCAATATGTAGATAAGAACACTTCTTTGTCGCATGTTTTTATGAATAATATATCATATCCCAACGCTCATCCTATATATATAGATATATCTATTTCGAGGATATAAGACACGTGTCATGAGCCCTCAATCCTACCCTCGTTGCTTTCCTACTATTCATTTTTTCTCCTTAAAACCCCCTCTTCTCGTATTCTGTTATTATCAGTGAATCGTTGAAACCACTACGGATGATATCTGAGGACACTTAATCGGAAAACGGTAAGAATAATATGTTACAATTTTATTTTATAATGCTTGCCTTTAGTAGTACTATAATTTGTTTTTTTTAATATTTGCGCTTAGGTATCAACCATTCAATATAAGACGTTTGCTTCAGAAACTAGAGGTCTTCGTGAAAGATTAGCTTCTTTTATTAAGAAAAATTAAAGCGAAATTTATCGTTCTGATAATAGACGCATGTCGTCAGTTTGACATTGCATTTCTTACGTTGAATTTCTAATACGTTTTAAAAATATGTATGCGTCACTTAGATCTACTACTAATCTTTGCATTATCTGAGACGTGAATTTTGCATCGTCTTTACTACAAATATCGACGAAGTGATTTTAATTAATTAAGATATAAAACATGATTCGCTCAAAAGTACGAAAATCACGTTTGTTTACAGATAAAAGGAAAGTGAATACGTTTCGATGAATAACTGGGCGTTTTCGAACAGGAAGCGATTGCAAAAATTTCCAACATCTATTTGCCTACGCAGCAAAAACAAATATTGGACAGATACATAATTATCGTTTGAATTACAAGCGATAAAATCTTCTTGTCGATCATGATTTCATTCAGCCACATTTGATGGATAAAGATTCGAGCAAAGAAGAGCATTGTTGAAGCTAGCTTATCTCATGCAATGTTAAATGAGAAACAAAAGTAACGATCATATTAAATCAGCAATTTGAGATATTTATGAAAATTTATCTTGCTGCTTGAACAGCCAGTATCGCATACAATGTAAACGTGAATTACATATTCGCCCTTCCTCTTTCCCCACGATATTGTTTCCATCAAAAATTTTCTCATGTGATATATTTTCCATTGTAGCATTTTACTTTTTTCCCGTTTGAGATGGCCTACTGATAACTACAACTTGTTGTACGAGTGTGCGCATTTCGCAACTAACTATCATTATTATAGACAAATAATTTAAAATCATAACTCAAATGAGAACAAATATTTTATGTATATTGTGCAAACTTCAACTGATTGCAGTGTAAAGAAGCAAAAAACTAGTCGCCAACGATAAATGCACAAAGAAATATGATTAGTGTGTTACAATCGATGATTTAAACACTTTTTCATCGTATTTTACTTATTATGAAAAGAAATCTCTGGGGATAAATGAAACTGATTTCAGATGAAAATAGTGGCGGAGCCAGGATTTTATAGGGTACTGGATCTCCGTTCCAGAGCATGGGTCCCAGTTAAAACTAATGGAGGATAATATTGGTGATAAATGATGAGTTTCCGCCATGTGATTTTTGCAATCGAAGTTTGCCAAAAAAATTAGCATTTTCCTGTGCCCTACCAGAAAATCTTCAATACTGTTAACAGTGTCTCATTTTTGAAAATGCTATACAAAGCTACATCAAATCTCATCGNACTTTTTTCCCATTTGAGATGGCCTACTGATAACTATCACTTGCTGTACGAATGTGCGCATTTCGCAACTAACAATCATTATTATAGATGAATAATCTTAAATCATAAGCCAAATGAGAACAAATATCCTATGTATATTGTGCAAACTTCTCATATCCAACAGAAGAAAAACACATCCACTACTCCCAACGCTCATCCTATATACATTGATATATCCTTTTCGAGGATATAAGACACGTGTCATGAGCCCTCGTTGCGTTCCTCCTATTCATTTTTTTCTCCTTATAACCCCCTCTTCTGGTATTCTGTTATTATCAGTGAATCGTTGAAACCACTACGAATAATATCTGAGGACACTTAATCGAAAAACGGTAAGAATAATATGTTACAATTTTATTTTATAATGCTTGCCTTTAGTAGTACTATAATTTGTTTGTTTTTAAATATTTGCGCTTAGGTATCAACCATTCAATAAGACGTTTGCTTCAGACACTAGAGTTCTTGGTGAAAGATTAGCTTCTTTATTAAGAAAAATTAAAGCGAAATTTGCATCATGGTTAGTACAAATATCGACGAGGTGATTTTAGTTAATTAAGATATAGAACATTATTCGCTCAAAGCTACGAAAATCACTTTTGTTTACAGATAAAAGGAAAGTGAAGACGTTTCGATGAATAACTGCGCATTTTCGAACAGGAAGCGATTGCAAAAGTTTCCAACATCTGTTAGTCTATGCGGCAAAAAAAAACAAATATTTGACAGATACATAATTGTCGTTTGAATCACAAGTGATAAAATCTTCTTGTCGATCATGATTCCATTCGACCACATAATTGCTATCAGGATGCTTAGACGCATCTCAAAATTCGTCTTTATATCTTGAAGTTTATTTTATTTCATTTATTCCACCAATACGAGTATCTATCGTCCTCACTATACCTTACGATTTACGTTAAAAAGTATTCGCAACACTAACACAACATATGCCGATTATTCTATGATGATAATAAAAATTTTATGGATAAAGATTAGAGCAAAAAAGAGCATTGTTGAAGCTAGCTTATCTCATGCAATGTTAAATGAGAAACAAAAGTAACGATCATACTAAATCAGCAATCTGAGATATTTATGAAAATTGATCTTGTTGCTTGAGTAGCCAGTATCGCATACAATGTAAACATGAATTTTATATTCGCCCTTCCTCTTTCCTCACGATATTGTTTCCATCAGAAATCTTCTCATGTAGTATGTTTTCCATTGTAGCATTTCACTTTTTTCCCATTTGAGATGGCCTACTGATAACTATCACTTGCTGTACGAATGTGCGCATTTCGCAACTAACAATCATTATTATAGATGAATAATCTTAAATCATAAGCCAAATGAGAACAAATATCCTATGTATATTGTGCAAACTTCAACTGATTGCTGTGTAAAGAGGAAAAAAACTAGTCGCCGACGATAAAACTATGAAGGAATATAATTAGTGTGTTACAATCGATGATTTCAACACTTTTTCATCGTATTTTACTTATTATGAAAAGAAATCTCTGCGGATAAATGAAACTGATTTCAGATGAAAGTATTATTTTCAAACCAATTCCATCAGCAAAAACAAGGCAAGATCAATTTTGCAATTAAACAAAAGAATCTCATGTGCGAAGGGATTATTAATAGTGTTGTGAATAATATTTACACCGTGATCGTTTAAATAAAAATGATAATTTGAGTAATGCACAAATTCTAATATTAAATAATTCAATCAATACATTACCCAATCAACTTAATCACGCTATTGAATTAGGATTAATTGTTTTGAAAGCTTTCCATTAATGGTGAGTTATGTGAACAATCGACTCAAACGAAAAGAGATACATCGAGAAAAGAACTCTTTCGATATAATGAGTAATTTTATCAATGCACATTGACTATCGAACAAGAGAAATATTATATCTCAACATTTTCATACAATTTATTTGATGGAATCTTTGCAAGATCACGAAACAATATCAGGATGTACAAGTGAAATTTTTAAGGAAAAAATTTTAAGAAAATTCTTCGCGTAATGTCACGGTAGACGGGAAAATAAGCCGTTGAGAAATTGTTTTTACTGCAACGTTGCAAATAGAAATCAGTAATATATTAATTGATATTCGGAATAAGCTGTACTACTCTGAACACCTCTCTTTGTCGTAACAAGAAAACGGAAACTTGAAAATCGTACAAAAGGACCAGAGAGTACTTGTATTGTTCCCCATTGTCCTTGGTTCGTACTCGAAAGAAGTCCCGACGAACCATTGTAAATCAGCGTCCAACTCGATCCAAGAGTGAGAACAGATTCATTGGAATTACTGCCTTCAATTGTCACTGTCAATGGATCACGTGACGAATCATAGTTATTCGTACCTAAACGAAATCCAGCAACAATCATTGAGCCAGATCGTGGAGTAAAATAGAAACCAGTATTTTGTCCACAGATTAATGACACCAAAAAGTAGTTACATACACCATGACTTGTAAAATCCGTGGTTAAATTACCATCGAATATATTTTCAGGTGGCTGACTAGGCCAATATGAGCCAGAATAATCACCCGAATATGCAGACAAACTATCACCGCCTGCTGTTGTATTCCAAATTGCGTACACAGTCTCGTTCATCGGCGTCATAACTGTTAGATCTATGGAAAGTAGAGAGCGATTTTGAAGATATTTACTGTTCGTCATCAGTTTTACCGACTTGTCAAACTTCGGTTGTTGAAACTGTAAACATATGTACTAGTATCCGTTGTCACTAGCTGTAATTGTCCTTGCTTTAGGTTCGCAAAGAAGAGAGTGCATAGTTGAGTAGTTGACGAATACACTACTGTCGAACAAAGTATATAAGCTGAACATTGACAGAGACAAGAGTCGGTTGAATTGATGAAGGAAAGATTACTGAGCAAGTAACGTGAATCAAATGGGAAAAAGTATGCGTTTTGATATGAAGTTAAAGAAAGTGTCACTGCTAACGGAATGTGACAATTAAGAATTATCCATGACAACATTTTGCAGTAAATAATAATATTCTGGTGTTCAAAAGAATTTGTCAAAAAAGTAAATAGTGAGCAAGATTCAAAATTTCATGGAATAATATATTCTTTACTTTTCTTTTGAAGCTATTCTGGCGTTCAATATAAATAATTGAAATAACGTCTAGTGCCCTTTTCTCTTCA